TTAATATCTGAAGGCATTTTGATTGTGGCTGCCTTTGAGCAACCAGAAGTGGTTTGAATCATTCAAACACGCGGCAAACATTTTAACCAATGAAAATACTTGAATTACGCGGAAACGACAGTGGTATGGTTTTTGCCATTCCCATGAAGTTGTAACTATATTTGAAACATTTTGGTGGTTACAGATGAGCGGGAAGTACGGTAGTAAAATAACGGAGGCCCTTAACCGATAGTTCATTTTACGAATATTAATATTGCAGTTGTATTTTTTGTTTCGTATTAAACAATTCCACTGTTGTTTTGACCTGTTTCACAGTCAACGAGGGATTATGCCATCCGGATACACTTTTTTGCCCGTAGGCCTGTAACCACCCCCGGTGAGTATATATAATGCTTCATGGGGTTAATACATCGCCAGTGGTTAGCCATCGCTAAAAACTGAAACGCATTTACGCCCTAGTAAGAGGCGAGGTGGTAATAGTATGCTAAGATGTTAAGTCCCATATACTGTACGAAATATTTACAATTACTGTTAACATCAATTTTTGAGAAAAGAAGCAGTGGAACTTTTAACCAGGGAATTGAACTTTCTCAAATTCTATAGTAGTTGTGCAGTCAGCTGGTTGGTGACATTTCCCGTTTTATATCGTCCTCCATCTGTCTAGTATCCCCAAACCACTTCTACAGTGGTAAGTACAAGCTATTAATAGTAAGTACTCCACAGTACTACTACCAGTATTTACAGTAAATAACCATACCAGACATACCTTTGGTGTTTTCAGCTGATTGATTGAAGTTTATTCTACACTTCTCATTGCCCGTGTTCTCTCAGCACTGTTGGCTTAGTGACATGATGTTTTCTGTCTAACGTCCATGATTGCTGACCCAATCACGGCCGAGCTGGAAAATTAGCGTAGGTTCTCACCAACTCTTGCCCTGTTTTCTGCCAGTAAGACTAGTTTGTTGTCCACAATTTCACTTTTGGTTTTCCCATCTTGTGTCCGAGTGATCTTGTCCTGCGTCGGACACTCTGCGCCCCTAGTGCTGCTACGTACCGAATCCTATCCCTCACGCTTCCACCCATTTCCTGCATCGTGACGATTATGTACGGTACGGTAATAGCGTAGTTTTCTCATACTAGTATTTCCCCATTTCGAATCACTGTATTCCGCCTATTTGGGATTTATGCGCAAATCATGACGTGGTCAACCCAACTCATGACGTGGTCAAAATAACTTGACCACACAACCAGGGGCTATATTATTCCGACAGCTCTATCAATCAATGAAGATTGCGGCGGTGGTGGCGATCCTCTTGGTGTGGACATCATGCACTGAACCATCTTGTTTTGCAAACGGCCTGATAAACACGGGCGAGCGCGGTCCACTTAACTTCGACTTCGTCGAAAGCTTTGTCTTGGCGTCGCCCGTGGCACACGTCCATCGATACACCGCCGCGTCGTACGCAGCAAACAACCCAAACGAAGTCAGACACTACATCACGTCATGCACTCATCGTCGGTCGTGCGTAGGATCGATACGTAGTGCAAGTGGACTTCGACGCAGTGTTCGCGTCCGTCTTGGACGGACACGGGGGATGGCAGGTGGCCGATTACGTGAAAAAGCACTTGGTCAACAACGCCGCCACGCTGCTTCGAGATGCTGCTTTCAACAACCCTGCTGCTTCCAACGACCCCACCCACGTAACATGCGCTACCCTTCGTTCTTCTCTTACGGTGTTCTTGTGGTTGCATGCAGATCGCGTCGTTGTTGTCGAGTGCGTTCGTGGCTACCGACAACGCGCTGAGCGCCCTCCTGCTTCCATCCTATCAGGTGGGATTCGGGCTAGTGAACCGCGTGGGTGCGTGCTCGATGCTGGCGTATGCAAAAGGAGACACTTTGGTCGTGGCCAACGGTAAGCACTTTATCGTTCGATGTCCAATCCACGAACAATCATCGTAGCCGGCGACGTAAGGGCTGTGCTGGCGTCGACCAATGCCTCGGGGGGGCTGGTGGCAACACCCCTGAGCACCGACCACAACGCCAAGCACGAGTCCGAACAAGCTCGGTTGGTCGCAGCCCATCCAAATGAGTCCGACGTGTTCGTGTGCCATTTGCCCGAGTCGTGCTACGTCAAAGGCATCGTGCAGCCCACTCGGTAAGAGTTTCGTCAAGTCAATGCATGCTCACAAACTACTCGGTAGCGTCTTGGGGGACTTTGCCTTGAAATATAAAGTATTCAACAGGTTCAATTCCAGTGATTATATTGGAGGCGACGGTGTCTACATCCCGCGGCCATACACACCACCGTACGTGCTGGCAGTTCCGGAAATCCAAGTGCATACGCTGACGGATGCCGATCAATTTCTCATTTTGGGTACAAATACACGTGTATATATTATACTAGTATATATTAAGTATGATTGATATGTATACATGATATATATATCAAGCTTGTTACAAGTATGTAAGCTACATTGATTGATATATATATCATGTATACATATCAATCACACACAAGCTTGTTACAAGTATGTAAGCTACATTGATTGTGTGTCGTGAAAGTATATATTGAGAATGGACCGGTGTATACGTTTAGGAAGCGATGGACTATGGGATAGTTTGTCCAACGAAGAAGTACGACAACAATATGTTTATATACTTTAAAAACCATGGCATTAAAATGTTATTCGTAGGCGGTGGAAATTGTCGCTAGTTATACATCTCGTGGCGACTTCCGAGCCGCCCAAGCATTGGTGAACCGTGTGATCGCGAAGGAAGTCGAAAAAAAAAAGTACGTTGTAGTACTGATTGTTTCCCTAAATATTAGTATTATTTTCCCTTTCTCGATTTGACTATCGACAACTCCCTTTCTCGGATTTGAAGAATGATTCGTAACTTCACAACTCAACCGATGCTACTGTAGTGTAACTTGGAACGACATTGCCGATTTGAAACCAGGAGAACGACGTGACACCCATGACGATATATCCGTCGTGGTACTATTTTTCAAGTCGTGATCAACAAATGTGCCCCAAGAACAACATACATAATCGAGCACTAATTCCATGTAAAGTCTGTATATACATACTGTTTAAAGGACGGAGAATGGTAGAGGGGAAAGAGGCGTGATGGAGAGTGACGAGAATAGGAAAAATATGGGTAGAAAAGAAAGGAATAAGGCAGATACAATGTGGATGTGAAGACTCGGGTAGAAGAAGGCCGAGGCTGTCCAAGTGGGTCATGCCACTTAAGTGGCTCAAGCTTGAGGAGAGAAAAGTACGTAGAAGTGAGGAGACTAAAAAAGGCCAAAGTGAATGCTTGAGATAAAAGTAGTATTAATAGATGTCACTGTGCGCAATTTGCCTTCCCTCGGTCACCATTTTCCATCAATCAGAAACATTGAGATACTAGTAGTAGATGTAAGAAATGGAATACGAGCGTCAAAAGTGCAAACTGCCTACCCAAAACGAGATGCTAAAGCAATTTACTATTAATACATACCACTCTGATCCATGAAAAGAGTCCCATTTGCTTCAGTGTGACTGCCATTCGTGTGTTTTTTTAGTTTAATGGATGTGATTGGTGCATTTGAAAGCCAGAGATCTCGTCTTTGATTGGCTAGTCGACGTTTCTCTGAACTCGTTTTGGTGCTGGAGATACAAGCGTGACAGTGTGCAACGTCATTTTTTTTTAGAGAAAATCACCCGCTGAGCGTTCAATATCACTTCAATCTGATGTACTCGAAGCTCTAAAGACTTGTCTAGCCTACACAGAGCAGCCACACGTGCTTGGGAGCACCAAAGACTTTACTGTGAGCTAGTTGCGCCTTGTGTCGTTGTGCTAGTGTCAATCACCACACCATGCCGATACAATGGCCAGGACGACCCTATCCAAGGTTTTCTCTCTGATATAGCACGCAACAGTATAGAGCTACGGTTTATCTATTGAAGTTGTCCGTTCATTCGGCGTGTGCACAGACTTACAGCTCTCTCTCCATGGCCGGCGGCTGATTTCGGGGTATACACCTCTATGTATCAATAAGATTATGTATTTATAGAGTTATTTTCTCAGAACTTTGCCAATTTCCATACTTTAAACAAGTCAAAACAAATGGGACTCTTTTCATGGACCATAGTATTCAATAAATAATTCCTACTAGTATATATGGAATAATAATACTATGTAGTAGTATATACTACTGGTAATTATTAGCGCATTAAATAGAACGTGGTATGAAGCGCGTCACCTTACAACAGTGCCGATGACTGGTGTATTTGCCGATGACTGGTGCCCTACGTTAAGGAGGAAGTAGTATGGTGCATTTCATCTAAAGACTACAGATCGGCCATCCTCAGGAGGAGACGGTTTAGTTCGCATCGATTCTTTCAGTTAAACCCACGTAATTTTGACGTTAATTATTACTAGTACTTACGTTTTTTATCTAGTAAATAGGTTAAACGTCATGAATAATCCGGATACAATGGAATCGCTCATACGGATTAGTGCTGAATACAAAGACCAAGATATACTTGATGCTCCTTTTCGGTCAAAACGTGCCTGGCTCCACATATTTCCATACAAAAAGGCTGGTTGGTTTAAATTCTATTACTCGATCAATTTTTCACCAATCGAAATTTTGAACCGTAACTTCTGATGGTTTGTCCAGTTCTATCGTTATTACGGCTTATTTTCCTAAAAAATATCAATACAAAGTTGGAATAGCTGTCGAAAGACAATTGTAGTCTTTAGATGAAATGCACCATACAATTCGGAGATTATATTTCAAAAGGTTTATAAAATTAAGGAGTATTTTTGGCTATTAGTTTTGACCAAAAACCTCTGAAAAAATGTGGCCCCAACCGGGGATCGAACCCGGGACCTCCTGCACCCGAAGCAGGAATCATACCGCTAGACCATTAGGGCTTGATATTTAGAGGTTAATATAAGGAGTCAGACTAGATCAATGAAAAGTCGGAGTGCCTTTTCGTATCTTTTTGGCATTTGACGATGCAGCAAGTGCACCTACGCCCAGGTTTCCCACATGAAGAGCTGGATCGCATTTTCAATGGGACAGAGGGGGCAAAAGCATCTCCCGCTCCGTCTTCGTCCTTCCATTCCAGCTTTGTGGCAGACACGCACCATCGACGGGCGTCATCAGCTATTCCCATGGCGCCTACAGTGGTAACTATGCAAGCCCTTGAGACAATACTCAAGCGTGGACCTGAAATGTCATGTCTAGTACAAAGAACGAGGCACTCTATTGGGCCACAAAGTAGATTCAAACATCCCATGCTGGCCAGGCAGTGGCTTTGTCCCTCTTGCCCTTCCCGTTCGCAAGAAGCCAGCAACCCACCCCAAGCAACCTCCTATCGACAACAATCCTCCACTCACTGCCGCTGATCCCTCCACCGTTTTTACGGCGTCATCTAGAAAGCCACGAGTGTCTGTTCCACGCATATCCATTCCAAAGAAGAGTCGACCGCGACCACCTCCATCCGCAGAAGTACAAGTGACGGCGAACAATCCCCACACGAAACGCACGCCTCGATCGTCCCACCTGCGCGACGACATTGCATCATTTCACGTACACACGACAGTCAAAGCGCACCAGGAGGTACCACCAACGCTGGTCGACATGGACGACTGTCAATACAACCACGAACGTCGTGTTGAGCAAAAGCGATGGTCGGAGGCGGTCCAGTGGTTGAAGCTACAGCGGGAAGCCCTTCAACTTGGCGACAAAGGTCCTGACAGAGACGCGAAGCGCCAGCGGCTTTTTGACATGGATCGGCAAGTACGGGCGCAGAATCAAAAACGATTTGCCAAGTCCCCACCACAACGAGCCCCAACAAACTCACCAAAACTGAAAACACACACACCTGTGCAGTGGGAGTTACCTCCTCGAAAGCCGCCCGTACCTCGCCTTCACGCCGCCACCAAGGGCAAACGCCGCCAGACGCATGACTACTCCAGTGGCCATCCGCCCCAGCCAAACCACGACGGCGACGGGAATAACTATTCAGGGGATGCTGTCCTACGCCCTCCACGACGCCCAGCGACCCGAAGAAAGCGAAAAGTCGCCCCCGAGCCACCGCCGCCTGCAGCGGAAGCCGACAAAATGTCAGAGGACACGCAAAAGCGCCGGCAGCTGGCGCGAGTGTACATGGAACAGCAAAAGGCGAAGCGGAAAGAACGGGCTCGACAGCGTCGAAGGCAGGACGAAGAGGAGGCTGTTTTGAGGAGGGAGCAACTCGAGGTACGTCGCCAATCCAGCAAAGGGGTGTGACGCTTGTACGAATAACTGGGACGATAGAAATTGGATGCGGTGCGGTGGCAGCGGGTGCAGGAAAGTGTCGCGCTGGCCAAAAAGAGTGGCGGACACGTTCGCTCCAACCCCGACAACAACCGCGAGGCGCCGTCGTCGTCATCGATGACCGAATTGCTGCTTGGGTTTCGGACTTTGCCACCACGTTCAAAAAAGTTGCAACCGACGTACGAAGAGGATGTAATTCCACTCGACAACGACGACCAAATCACTGACAGCGCACAAGAGGAACCAAATCTGGACGAGGACTTGTGGAGCAGCGGGGACGACCAAAACACGGACGAGGTGGTGGAAAGTGATGACGGCGACGATGGTGATGATCGAAGGTGTGCTGTAGAAGTCCTGCCAAGGACGGACCCACCGCCGCCCCCGACGTCGTCGTCGCCGCCGCTGCTGTTGTTGAAGCTGCAAGCGCTCAAACAATTGACCGATCAATTGACATCTCGTGTGGGCCGACTGTCCAACAACAACGAAGTCGACTTAGACGACCATGATGGGGCGACGGCGCAATCTACTCGTAATGAAGAACGCGGTTCCGTCGATGAACTTGATGAGTCGAACGACGTGGCGTCGTCGGGGGATGACGAGGACGCGGGTCCGCCACACCAGCATCGGCCGGATCGAACTGCTGCCTTGGAAGCGTCGTCAGCCCCGTCGGCATCGTGGCAGACGCCAGACATCCACCTCGATGCCCCTCCGGAACCCGCTCCTTGGCAGCGATCAATGGATTCCGAAGACCGTACTCCATGGTGGGAAGACGAGTCTGAATCTGCGAGGCTCGTTTCTAGCCGCGTCGACTTGCCTACAGTTGTGCGTGTACAGTCGGACACTAGAGTGCATCAACGATACGCCAACGGGGACGGCGACGAGACCCGTACGACGACAACGGAGGCCCATGTGTCCCGTGCTGCTTCGCTGGTTGACGGGAATGCTTCGTCTTCCACGGACGACGATGACGACAAGCAAGTGGCGCGGTGGATGGCTCTGCGACAACGTCGACAGCTTGGAGAAATCCGTGACGAGGCGGCGCAAGTACAACTTCACCCCGGTCAAAACGACAAACTTCATTCTGTTGGGTATCGAGAATCACCTTTGTTTGGCCCGACGAGCCTGCAAAGTGCCCGCAACCACCCGATGGGGGACCGTCATGACGATGACAACGATGACGCAGAGCTGGATCGGCTGATTCATGCGACGCGTGATGCGTACAGTGTCGTGGACATGTATGCACAGCAACTGTTCCAGCAGCAGCAACAAAATCGCATCACGTTCGAACTCAGCGCTGCGACGGAGAACAAGGACGTGCCTGCCCTTGCCGACCGAATTGAAGAAATCGCAAGCGATACCGACAGCCGATCCCAGGACGATGGTCGACAAGACATGGACGATTTGGCTGACTCGATCCGGTGGCCAAAAGATATCCACACCATGGACAAGGTCAGCTCGACGACTGTCCACGAGGATTATGCACACGACGACGACGATGGACCGGCTTGCGGCGGCTACACCGGTCGATCTATCGAAGAACTATTGGCCGAGGCCAGCCGTGTACTGCAGCGGTCGTCGTGTCACGAGGAAGAAGCCGACAACAACGCCAGTTCGTTCTGGGACCGGGCCATGCGACGTGACGACAATGCACTTGGACGGCAAGTTCCCAGCAGTCCCAATCGATACGCGCATCTGCCTCGAGTCGTCATTGCGATGGACGACGATGCCAATCTTCGGCACTCGCCACGGACGCTGGCGAGACAGTTGATGGCGGCCGTGGACTTTCAAGAGTCGCTGCACGAAGCGCAGATGAATCTGTCGGCGTTGGAGTACGCGCACGAAGTGGAACGAAACCAAGACGAGACGCTGGTGTGGGGCCAGGCGATCCAGGACGAAGTGGACTCGATGGCCCAGGCCCAACTGCTGCTGGACCAGCATTTGACCATGCAGGAAGAGTTCCATCAACAAGAACTCGTCATGCAAGCGATGGGACATGCGGCCCAAGAGCGCGACAAACTCGTGGAACAAGCGTGCCAAACTGACCAACTGGCGCGGCAACACGCGTCGACGATGGCCCAGTGGACGGTGGAGACGGGGACGATGGCGGTGGAAGCGCGGGATGGAGGCGCACAGTGCACTCTGCAGCACTCAATCGCCATCCAAAGCGACGACCGGGACCTCCTTGCTTGGGAATCTCAAATGTTGTTTCGAGATCAAGCTAGTAGTCCCGTTCGCAGTGCGGATGCTTCAATGGAAGGCGAACGGCGGGCCCAATTTCACTTGGCCATAGACACACCACACGTCATCCCAAACACTTTGGAAACGTTTGAGACGAGCAGCCATATCAAAGAAAGCGCGCCGTCCATTGCGATCGTAGACAGTGTGCAGTCGCTTGAAGTGATGGTCAAGGATCAAGGTGATGAGACGACCTATTCGGAGGGATTTGGCAGCCCAACCAAGGAGGTCTCTTGTGGTGACGATATTCCCGACCAAGATGAGGCAGACAAGTCGACGTTGTCCGAGGTGTCGGAAGTATCAGAAGACAATATTGACACCACGTCCAAAGGGTTTGAAAGTCCAGACCACGCTAGCGTGCCAGACGATTCTGACAATGTCCAAATGGACGCTCCGGACGAACCCTGTTCAGTTCAAGGGACCGTCGAGTCGGAAGAGTATTCCGAGGGGTTCGACAGTCCCCCAAAGCCAACGTCGAGCCCCAACGTACCAGATATCGACGACGAATACGAAGTGGATGCTGCTGTGTCGGAGGTGAAGAGCGAAGGCAGCTTGGACGAGATTGAAGTGGCCGTCCCCTCCAAGCTCCAACACGCCGTGGCCTCGGATGTTGACGACGATGAAGTAGAATCGGTAGTCGATGTAGACATTGAACAAGTCAACGAAGGGGGCGACTCGATGCAAGACGAAGAAGGCAACTACTCGGAACCATTTGAAAGCCCTCGGAGCAGCAAACCGAGCTCTAGTCCGCGTCGTGGTCAAGTTGCTCAGACGGACTTGAGCAAACAAGCTGTTCACAGTGGTCCATCCATAGCAACACACCAAAGGGGCATGCCATCCTTGCCAACGACGACACTGGACAAGGCGACGTCGGAGGAGCGCGTGGAAGCGTACTTTGCACAGCTGTGTCGCCGCGACCCCGAAAAGGAAGAGTACATTCGCAGCATCGTGGCGAGGAAGGCGAGCGAGGACAAGATCCTCGACATGCGCCAGCGAAGCCTCACCAGTCGACCAAACGTGTCCCGGATGCAAGCGCAGGCCGAACGGTTGCAACTCGACAGCTGCCGGGCTGCCAATCTCGCGCGCTGCTACGAAGACATGATGCTTTTCCGACAGGATGAAGTGGAAGATCCGGACGAAGTCCACATCTTGGCGTTGGTATTTGGCCAGTCGGGAGGTCAGGCTTGGAGCGCAACTGGTTGGGAAACGACTCAAGGCGTTGGTTTCAATGGGAATGATCGGGACCGACGACGGGAGGCTCCGTTGGTAGTAGCGGCATCCGATCGTCAGACGAACGAAGAAGAAGGGCATGATGCGAAGGACGACAGCGACATGGACATGTCGGAGAAGAAGACGGAAGCTGCGGAAGAGGCCGAGTCGACCCCCGAAGAGTATGACGAGTTTGAAGAAAAGTCTGTAAAGGCAGTGAGCGACGAGTTCCTGGAAGCCAACAGCGTCGACAGTGCAACTGCGGTTAATGACATCGCCGGGCACGCACAAACAAAAAACATTGTAGACGGTCTTCGCGACTCGGACGGGAACGAGTACTCCATGGACGACTTTGCAGCAACTCAAGGTGAAGACATGAGTATTGTTGTAGTTGCGGATGTGGTCGTCGCGTTGTCTGGTGAAGACGCCATGATATTTGACGAGGTAAATTCAGGCCACCAAATCGACATTGCAGACGAAGACGAGTACTCGATGGACGGCTTTTCCGCCAAGCAAAGCACCGACGACGACAACTTTGTTGAGGACCAAGAAGAAACGATTGGTGAAACGGCCAAGTCGGTCGATGTTGCAAGCGTGGATGAGGACGGTGACGTAGAGGGCTTTGAGAGGCCGGACGACGCATGCGGTTCTAGTGTCATGGAACACGAGGCCGAATCCGTCAAGATGGTAGCCGACAAGGATGAATACTCTGTGGACGACGACTTCACGGCAGCAGGTGTCCCGAACGCTGACAACGGTGACGATGGTTTGTCTATCGACGATGACGACCAAGCGTTGGCAGATGGGGCTGTCGACAACATTGAAGACGAACAAGCAGTTGCTGAAACAATACCACGAGAGCCTGGACACGAGTACTCGACGGATGAGTTTGCACAGTTATCAAGCCCAGGGGAGATTGCCGTACCAACCGACGATGAGTACGGGTCCGACGAGTTTGACAAGTCGGTTGACGTGCACGTTGCCGACCAACGAAGCAACACGTCGGTGGAACTGCAGCGGGCGCTGGACAGAATCGCCACGGACTTTCCCCACGACATCGGACAGGACGAAGCTAAATGGCAACGCCGAAAAGCCCAAGCGATGGCGCTCGTGGCGGCCAAGGAACGCGCGATTGCGCAGTTGAAATACCACCAAGAAATCAAACAAGTCAATGCTTTGGTGGCGTACTCGCTCGCGTTGGACGTAGAACAAGAGGCGGGCACACCACCGAGCCCGGCGAAATCGGTAGTTCCAACGATGTCACATGTGGCTGCATCAGTATCGAAAGAACACTTTGAAGGCAGGTCAAATTCGCCGCCGGCAGCCGTCGAGCATGCCGCCGAGTCCGACGCATCGTACTCGGATTCGTTTGAGAACAAGAGTGACGATGTCGAGGACAATGCAGTTCAAGTGGAAGCATCCGACTTGGTGTGTGAGCCAGAGCATATGATGCAACACGACGTGGTCGTCGTCGTGGATCCACAGTCGAGTATATCTCGCAGCATTGACGAGCATGAGCTACGGCTGGCACAGTTAAAAGTACGTCGACTGTACTACTCTGCTTCTGCCGTTGATGACATAAGAGGTTGTGCTGACGATCAATGGGTGGGGTGTAGGAATCGCTCGCTTCCAAGCAAGAAGAAGCCGTCCAATTGAACTCGCTGCTGTTGAAAGAGGCGCGGCGTGCGGCACTCGAGGTGCGCCAACTCGTCGGACGATGACGTGGATGGAGTGGCTGATGATATATCCCTTCTTGGTTAGGCGGAAGAGATCGCGATGAGGGTACAACTGGACCAGACTGAACGCCTCGTAGCAACCAACCTGTCTCGACTGACCCAACTGCAGCAGCAACGCCATGACCCTTCACCTGCGATCCATACCAACATCACAGTGTCACAAGTACTCGAGTCGTCGTCTTTGGAGGTGGCGGACATGATGTGTGCACCTGCGTCATTTCCAGACTTGAGTGAAACGCACGACCCTGACGGCAGCTCCGAGTCCGATGCAGACTCGTCACTCGGAGATGCCAAGGCAGCAGAACCACCAGTACTTCCAGAAGCAAACAGATGTGGATACCCCGTGGTGTTGGAATTGGCTATCGTCGAGGGCGACTCCATCTCGGAGGAGGATGATGAAGATGACGACGATCAGTCGTTTGCCAGCCAGGACGACCTGACGGCGATGACGGAGCCGCCCCCGTCGTCAGTGGTGCCAATACAAGCGGAACAAGTTGTTCCTGTCCCCCATGGTGAGGACGTTGGACCTGTTCGACCGCTGGTGAGCCAGATCCCAGATGTGCTGGACGATTCGTTCACCAGTGTCGACGGTAATACTGCTGCTACCAACGACATGTTCGTGGGCTTTGATTATGTCGAAGATGCTGCCCCTTCCAATTGGATGCATGAAATGGCGACCCAGACGACCCCCCATGACAATGATGCTGGAGAGATGCTTGCAATGGACCAGTTCGATTACATCGAAAGTGTCGACCCTGTTGTGGTTGTTGAAATGTCATTGCCCACTAGTGAGACGACAGCAAAGTCGACAGATCGCGAGGAGGACGATCTGCTCGCGATGTACGACGTCGTGGAAGCTGTCGACGACCCACAGTTGGCAGCCGACGCCTTTTTTGAAAACTGGGAAGTTCAATACCAGAACTTGCTGGCTGGGTTTGATCACGTGGAAGCTGCCGTCGCCCCCGACTTGGCCGCCATACCAGTCCGACATAACGCCATGGAACATGAAGACACTCAAGGAGCGATGGATTTATTGCTTGGGTATGACGTTGTCGAGGTGGTTGAACCTCATGGAGCAGCATTGGATGATGCGTCGACCGCCGACGGTCTGGTTGAGGGAACATCGGACGTAGCATTGGCGTCGGAGGCATTTGTCCAAGTGCGAGATGATTCCGAGGACCAGCGTGATCCAATTCAGCACCACGTCCCAAGCGATGCATTGAACAACGAACACCTTGTCACAGATGTCTGCGATGCCGTTGGTTGGGCGGAGGAACTACCGCAGGGGGACGGACCGTTTCTTCCTAGTTCCAAAGACTTACTTGCAAATTTCGACTACGCAGAAGATGCGATCCCACCAGCAGCCACGCGGCAGGTCCAGCTGCCGCAACTAGCGTCCATGAATCTCCTGGCATCGTTCGACTTAATTGAAGTCGCACTCGTGCCTCCAACCCCCGAAGTGTCAACTGCCCAGCGAGGAGTTTCCACCGCAAGATCCATCCACAAAAAGCACGAACCGCCAGCCGACACCCAAGTCGACACCGTCACGGACCTTGTGTGGAAGGACATGCTGGACGACGTACTGACCAAAACGGCAGCATTCTCGTCGCGTGAAAATGCAATAGACTCTACCCACAGTCATCAAGTGATGTCTGCTGATATTAGTAGCTCGAGCTCTCTTCCCCCAGCAACGCCTGTCAGCGTACTAGCGACGACAACGACGGAGCCATCTTCCAAGGCACTTGTGGACCAAGTCACGGATTCGCTAATGGACGAACTCGTGCAAGAGTCTCTGGCGTTGGGTACATGGGACAAGGGCACCCCTGCACTACCCGCATGTGCATCGTCTCAGCCGCACAAGCAGCCACGTCAGACCGTCGCCACTGCCCCCACGGACGCAGCCGCCTTGCGAAACGTCACATACTTCCCCGACCAGTACTCGGCGCTGATCCAATCCCGTCAACCGTACGATTGGACCTTGGTGGACCACGAGTTGCTTCGAATGATGGAGGATGCTTCTGCCTCGAATAACGTGGATGCATCTCAGCCACCCATTTCACTTGCAAGACCCCCTAGCGTCAGCGACAGTGCAATGCACACCCGGCGGCGTCTCTTGAATGAGTGGACAACAATCAACAAGACGTCGAGCCAAAACCGACCTATCCTCCCGCCACCCCCTATGCCATTGCCGGCGGGGCCCCTAAGCATCAAGGAGCTGGTTGTGGCCACTCAAGCGATTACGACCAAGTCTGTATCGACCGTGGTGCACTCGCTTGTGAAGGATGCGGTCGGACAAGTGTCCAATGGCCAACTCGCCGATGCGTTGCTCAACTCGTTGCTGGATGACACCGTCGCCGAGGTGTCGTCCATCACAACATGGACCTAGTTGGCCCACAACATGACATATGGCGGACATGCCTCGCGACGATCATTGCACGTTTCCGCGTATCGTCAATGTTGATTCAGCATTTCCCACGCATTGCTGCAAGGAACTATGTGTAGAAACTAGTACTGTAGTAGTCTAAATTAAGAGATTCACAATTTAATACTAATATGAATAGCTACATGTTTGGGCCAACAACGTCGTCGACGACGAGAGGAGGTTAACGACGTCGCATGCTTTTTGTCAAAAATCAAACCTGTTAGATGACCTCGTCTTGGTTGGCTAGGAGAAAGCTCTGCACTTGATTTCCAGGCCAAAACTCGGAAGATTTTTCAGTCAGTCGGACGTTTTTTGCTGAACTTTTTCCTTGAGTATTTGCTGAGCGTTGACGTGGACGCTGTCAAGTGAAATGTCCAGCGCTTGGAAGTACCGCAACAAGGCGAGGGTTTCGTGCTTGGACGGGCAGTAGTGGCCACTGTGCAGGTAACGTAAGGGCGCCGTCTCTTACGATAAATCATGCCTGCGGCTTGGACTCACTCGCCATCCACGAGACTGGTGTGGTGGTAGATGCGAGGAAGATGCTTCGTCACGTTTTCAAAGTCATACAATTTAGACTTATACTGTACAGCACCCCATCTCGCAACACGACCATCCAACCTTGGCGGGCTTCTGATCCTTCGCATGACCATACGCCCGTGGTGTGGTCAGACGTCCAGTGGGAATTGATAGCACTCGGCTTCGCTGTAGTTGAGCACGACCTCTCGATCGAGTTTGGCGTGGGCACCACACCCAAATCGAGTAGAACGTCGGAGTGGTCGAGATTCCGAGAACCCGTGTGTTGGTGTGAGATGTTGCTCCCACGCGTCGTAATACGACTGGAGGTTTCGCCAGTACCTGTGCTTCGGGTCGAGAACCTCGAGCCAGCATTGTTCGTTGCTGCCGTCAATAAACGAAAACGTGACGGCTTTAAGGGTGGCAGCTTGCAACCCCCAAAGCCGCGGACGAATGCGCCCGACAGGGCCAGACCGCCAGGGCGGCACATTTCATATCGTATCATGCATATGTTGTTCGTTGGGCTCGACGCTATGGAGCTTCATACTTGGCAGCCCATCCCTGCGGATTGGAGTTACTCGACGAGCAAAATTCCGATTTGTTGCCTACAGCAAGTAATACTGTACCTGTTGTCGTACAGCCTTATCCGGATGATGCGATCATGCATATCAAATCCGGTACAATCCGCGCCGCGACATTTGATTGGCTATTCGAACCTCTTGCTAGTCAACGAGGAGCAATTTCAGATGAACGATGTAGCCGATTATTGGTGATTTCGTTTTCAAACCACAAGCTCGGAGCTTCAGGCATGCAATTATCGGAAAGGATGGCAAAGTGGTGCATGCCCTTGACAGCAGTGGCAAGTTCTACTGATTTAAATACTGTAGTATTAACTTAGGTACTGGCGTCGCCGGTGGGAGTGCTGCGGCGGTCGTGATCGCAGCATCGTTCAATGTTGTGGAAGAGGTTGGCTTCGCAGGCTTGTTCTTTGACTTGGAGGAAGTTCAAGACATGATCGCCAGACCAAAAGTACGCGTTGTGGACTTTTTTGAGTTTTTGGCCGTCGGCACCGTCACGGCTGCGTTTCTGAATCCGCTGGACATCGACTTGCATGTGCTGCAGCGAGATGCCATGGGACTGCAAGAAGCGCAGCAGCACGAGGACTTCGTGCTCGGAAGGCCGATAATGGCCGCTGTGGGGATACATCACGCGCAGGACGCCGTCGACGACGACGATCATGCCGGCGGCTTGGACACATTCGCCGCCCACGAGGCTGGTGTGGTGGATGCGAGGGCTATGGTTGGTCACCTTTTCGCTGCCGTACAAGACCCCGTCCCGCAACACGAAAATCCATCCGTCGTCGCCCGTGGTGATGGGCAGTTGGTCCCACCGCGTGACAAGGAGGCCATCTGGTCGGATGTCAAGGGCGAATTGCTCGCGCTCGGCTCGGTCGTAGTAGAGGACGGTCTCTCGTTCGAGTTTGGTGCGGGACACACCTTCAACCTCGACAGATTCGTCACTGAGCCACTCCCAGAACCCAGGCCTCGTTGTGAGTTGCTTCCACGCCTTGTAATATGCCTGCAAGTTGGCTCCGTATCGATGCTTGGTGTCGCACACTTCAAGCCAGCTTTGCTTGTCCACCACAGACACGTTGCCGGAGCTGAAGCCCCGTACGAGGATGGGGGAGTACTTGTTCGCTTCTTCGTACAGATCGGACCCATTGCGGGCCATTCCGAACCCCGCCAGGCACGGCATGGCTGTACTTTGTCAAAACGGAAAATGCACCACTTGGCTTGCATCGACGCTGAGACTTGTGATTGGCCAGTCAGATGACAACATCCAGCGCAACCAACATACAAACTTCAAGAGAACCGAGGGCTTATTGAATCCAAGTGCATCGAATCTTGCACCAACCATCGCATCTCCAGACGCTTGTGCGCTTCCAGTTACAACGTCCTAGCGCCACGAACAATTCAAAGGCTCACAAGCGACTTGGGAAGAGGAGGTGAAATGTGGCTGCCTTGCCTTTGGACGCGATACATATACTACTATAGCGTATAATCTGTACGTTCATGATCGAATCTCTTGACGGTGAATACAGTGGGTCCTTTTGTGTACGGTATGGACATAGATGCGTGAGTTATGCATGTGGGCATAGCAGAATTCAACGGAAAGAATGTGGGGCGATAGAGGACGTGGCCACGGCGGCGACATCATGTCGCCTACAGGATGCAATCAATGTTCGTTCATGCTGTGTAGTATACGGTACTTTGACATGAAGTGCCAACATCTCACTTTCGACGAATCAAGTCTTTTGCAATGAGAACTTTGTACTTGGGCGTTATAAATAATTTGAGCAAAACGAGTAGAATGTCTATGGGTGATATATTGCGTATCGGTCAATGGTGAATACTTGCCGCGGATTGGTGGAGGACATTCAGTAGGGACTGCATTGTGACACGTCAACGTCACACCCATCATGGAGAAAGCATGGAGCAGGAAGGAGAAGGCACGTGTTCAGAAACATCTCCAAACTCTGTGCAAGAACGGACCCGTGGACGACTTGACGGCACTCCTCTCGTCCCTCTCGGAAGACAAAGTCACCACCTTGCTTCAAGCTCCATCCGGTGGCAGCGACCACCTCTCTTGCCTGCACCTCGCTGCTGCGGCGAATCAACCGTCCGTAGTTGAATATCTCCTCACCAAGCATGCGTTCCTCTTTCCCGACGTTCGCAAGGATTATGCGCGCACTCCATTGCACGAAGCATCTCTCCATGGCCACGCCGCTGTCGTTGCGGTTCTGCTGCGACATGACGCACTCGTAGGCGCACACACCACTCGAGGCCGGACGCCCTTGATGTATGCCGCTCGTGGAGGCCACACCTGTGTCATGAATCTGTTGTTGAACGCCGGAGCCCACGTGAATGACCAGAGCGAGACAGGTCTCACCGCCCTCTACGAAGCCGCCAAGCATGGCCGGGTGGGTGCTATTGACATTCTCCTGGCACATCCTCACGTGGATATCAACTTGGGGAGCCACACCAAGCACACGCCATTGCACATCGCCATCGGGGAAGGTCACTTGGATGCGGCGGAACGATTGATCCAGGGCGGCGCCGACACGACCGTGCAGGATGGGATGGGCGTAACGTTGTGGCACGAAGCCGCGGGCGTGGAGGGGGTGGCGGCAATGGACCTGCTGGTGCGCTATCACATCTCCCTGCACGACGACCACGTGGACGTCGTCCTGGCGAGGCATCCGTTCCATTACGCTGCCGTGGAAGGCCACGCGGCGTTTTGCGCGGCGTTGCTGGCCGCCAACATGGTCGACGTGAACCTCCAAGACGTGGATGGGTGCACGGGTCTGTACTACGCAAGTGCGAATGGCCATGCGAATGTGCTGAAAGTGCTGCTTGAAGCCAACGCGGATGTAAACTTGGCGTCCGTCCGCCGCACACCTCTCCATTGCGCGGTGATGTGGGAGCGTTCGGAGTGTGTCCGGCTTCTCTTGGCGCATGGAGCGTCGACGACCGCCTTGGACAAGGACAACAGGACTGCTGAAGATATGGCACAAGCATTCCCCGAAGTAGCCGCGCTGTTTAGGCCAACACAACCATGAAAAGGACTTAAGTTATAAATATTAAGTGAGTTTTTAAAAGTACAATGGACCGTCGTACTGGACCGCGTCCATGTCGACGTCAGTGTCGTCGCCGCTCGAAGCGGTGCGTAAAATGGATGGCGAGGCGCCGGAATACGATTGGACCCGGGATTGCCACCGGGCAACTTCGGTCTCCAAGTCGTGGAAGAGGTCGAGCCGCCACGCCAAATCCTTGAGCTCGAGGAAGTTCAACACACGCTGGCCGTTCCAGAAGTGCGCGCTGTCGATCTTCTTGGTCTTGACCCCGTTGACAGATTCGCGCGCGACTTTCTGCATCCGTTGGACGTCGACGAGGACCTCGCGGTGTGCAATCCCGTGCTTCGCCAGGAATCGCATGAGCACCAGCAGTTCGTTCTCGGAAGGACGGTAGTGGCCGCTGTGAGGATAAATAATGCGGAGCGTGCCTTTGGAGACGACCATCATCCCTGCGGTTTGAACGCATTCGCCTCCAACCAAGCTCGTGTGGTGGATGCGCGGGACTTGGGTCGTGACCTTTTCGCTGCCGTACAAGATGCCGTCGCGCAACACGAATATCCACCCTTCATCACCAGTGTCGACAATTTCCTGTGATGACTTTCGAATTACCATGCCATGTCGAATGTCGAGCTCGAAGCGCTGACGTTCGGCAGGGTCGCAGTAGAGGACGGTTTCGCTCTCGAGCTTCGTGCGCGGTACACCTTCCACTTCAATCGATTCGTCGTCGAGCCATTCCCAGAATCCAGGCTTGGGACCGTCGTATCGCTTCCATTCCTTGTAGTACGCGCGCAAGTTGGCGCCGTACCTGTGCTTTTGATCGCAGACTTCAAGCCAACTGCGCTTGTCGACGACCGAGATGTTTCCTGCGCTGAATCCACGCACTAGGACGGACGAGTACTTCTTCGCTTGCTTTGCTATCTCATGCGGACAGTGTCGTCCCCGTCGTCGTGCTGTCATGAGGATCTGTGGCATGTAGAATCGGACTTCGGCGGCGGGTGCGAGTGTTTAACGGTAAATTGGTAAATGAAGGTTCGAAAGCACTCGAAATTTGTATTCGACCGACCAGTATCCGGATAATCCATCTTACTGCACTCCGGTATGGGTTTGAATCTGCTTGGGAATGTAATTCTCGATCGAAGTGACGATTCTGATTGGCTGTGCTTAAACCGTCCCCTACCCCTGCTTATCCGGATTGGAACTTGGATTCAGCCCATACAAACATCAAATGGAACGTCGTCGCGACGAATCTACAGGAGATCCTGGCATGTGTGGTCGTTCACGGGACCACATCGGAATGAATTTGCTCGAAACGATTCAAGTTACTTCCTTATCCGGTTCTATCCGACATTGAAGTTACGTGTGCATGAATGCGAGGAAGGCAACCCAGCCGTACAGTCATGACACTCACCAGCTACAGGACTACTAGTATTGTACTATTGCAATGCAACCACCAAGAATTGCAATGCCAAGTCTTAACCGCGTCGCTGGGTTCAAAAATCTATCGCTGCATGAAGTTTTTGCTGTCGGCGTTTCGCTGAATGTAATGCTTGTTGCGCGCCAACCGCTCTTCCATCGAGTCCTTCGAGTGGACATACGCTGCCTCATGCAAGTCCTTCAAGAACGATGGGTTTTGCTGGGTGGCGCTGGCTTCTCCGTCGCCTTCATTTGGCTGGTGCTTGTCACTCTTGCGCAGGCGCGCGTCCAACGCCCGTTCGCGGCGCTGCGCATCCTCCAGCATCGCCTGCAGCCGCGCCTCCTTGTCCTCCTTCGTGGCCTCGTCCGTCGCGGCCCGCGCCCGCTTGAACCGCTCGGCCTTCTCCACTTCTTCGCGCTCCCGTTTCTCCATCGCTAGGTTGAGGAACTTCCGCGATGGACCCAGACTCGACGTGTCAATATCGCGGCACTTGCGGGCGTTCTCTCCACCCAAGAGCCCATATCCCTTCAACGGAGCCGGGCGATCCTGTCGAGGGCTGCTGGCGTCATGGGGACGAGGCCGGCTGCTGCGACGAGGCGACCTGGACCGATCTCTTGAACGGGATAGTTCGCGGTGGCGCCGGCGGCTGGACGGACTGGAGCTGCGACCTCGTCGGGGCACGTTGTCGTCGTCTCGACGGGGGTGCCGTGATCGTTCGTGATCGTCACGGCGACGACGGGGGCTTCGTTCGTCCTCGGGGGACGACGAGCGACGATGAGACCGGCGGCGAAGCGACTCGTCGTCATCGGTCTTGTCGCGCAGTTTTTTGTCCTTTTTGGACGCTTTTTTGGCCTTCTTCGCCTCCTTTTTCGCCCTTTTTTCAGCTTTTCGCTCCTTCAGCTCTTGTTCCACCTATAAATGTATGAGTCGCATGTTGAAGAGGTTGAACAGTGAGTACCCTGTCCTTGATGCGCTTCATCTTCACGGGGTTCTTCATGATGCTGAGCTGCGTCGCCTTCTGTTGCTTTCTACGGTTCATATGAGGAACACGAAGGACGAGGTGGATGGCCACGTACTTGATAAACATCATCGGGTCCTCATTGAGGCGAGAGAACGAGTCGCTCGCCGTCCCAGCACCACTTGCCATGTACAGCGACCCAGGTTGCGACGCCAGCTTCTTCAGGTCGCTCTCCTCGGGCTTTTCCTCATATTCTTTCCCCAGGAGGTACTCCTCCGCTGTTTTTTCACGCTGGGACGCCGCCATCGGCCCTTCGTACATCCAATCAACCCGCTCGGTCGTGTTGGCTTTGGTGCCGGAAGCCTTCGCTTGGAGCTCGCGCAATTCCTTGAGCTGACGCTCTTCCTCCACGTTCTTCTTCCATTCCGCCAGCTTCTTATCTTCTAAAGCCGCTTTCTGCTCGGCCTTCCATACCTTCTCAACGTTGCTGAGGTTGGACGTGTGCCAACTCTTCTTGGCTAAGAAAGCGAGCGACATGGCACCAAGTAATGTGGAACGAAGCAAAAATGCAGAAACGCCAAAAAAATAACGCATTGATTTAATTTACTTGGAAATAGTATGCAGGGAACCATAATTGAAAACAAATCAAAACCCATTGCTGATTGGCTACATCACTCAGGAAATGCCACCTGTCGCCGCGGCACTGCCGGCGGCGATCTTTGGATGGTATGCGAGCTCCGCCATGAGTGGAGTGACGTCCAAACAGATCCTTGGAGAGTACCCCCATGCGTTCATCCTCTCTGCATGTCAGTTCACTATCGCTTTCGGATGTCATGCATGGTACACGACATTGCTCCATCCCACATCCGTCTTTCAACGGCAGGAGAATCCACGTGCCCACACTTTGCTGGTGCTGTCAGCCTTAGCGTACTCCATAGGCGTCTGCAGCTTCAACGCGGGATTCTGGGCCATGCATGTCTCGATCAACGAAACGTTACGTGCCCTTGAACCACTTGTGAGCGTCGTCCTGGCCTCGACGTGTCTGCGCGACCCCCAACTCAGTCGGTGTGCACTATACCTCTTTAGTTGTCATGACGCCATGTAGACTTCGCCTTCTTGCTCTGGTTCCCATCGTCACGGGTGTATACCTGTCCGCGATCTCGAACGGCGCCTTCTCCATCGTTGGGATGATCATTACGATGGTCGCCAACATTGCGTTTCCTCTCCGCGCGGCCCTCGTCAAGCGCCTTCAGCCGTTCATGTCATTGCACGTGATGTTTTATTCCACTTTGTATTACGCCATGCTGCTCCAGGTACACACATCAACTGTACGTATTATCTCTACCAGGATCATGGAGGACTATGTAGTGGTTACTAGCTGGCCTGTGGAGCATCTTTGGCAGCCAACCAGCCAGTTCTCGATCAATCACCAGCGCCAACTTCAAGGAACTTGTCTTCGCTTTGGTCAATGGCGCCTTCTTTTACCTGTATCATTGGGTACCCCCCCCAGTTGCCTTGACTGTTGCATCTGAAACGCTGTTATTTCTAGTGCTCATTCGTGGTGCTGTCGTCAACGGACATGGTTTCGCACGCCGTTTGGAACGCCCTGCGCCGAGTCACGACCATTTTGTTCTCCGTGTGGTACTTTGGCCTGGCCCTGCATCGCATGAACGCGCTCGGGATGGTCGTGGCATGCACTGGCGCGTTGGTCTATGCTAAGACGTTGCGCTGGGAACGACAGACATCTCAATTGTTGGGGAGTCTTCTCAAGGAAACCCATCAGATTGTGTAAAGAATGCAGTGTGAATGCATGCCAACGTTTGTTCGAGTGAAAGGGGAGGGTTCTGCTCGACCCTAACTAGGCTTCCTGGTGTCGATGCCAAGGACCTGAGGAAACCTGGGACTGAACCAGCGACCATCGGTGTGTTCTTGTCATACTTAGATCAGGTGTAAAGTGATCTATAAGTAGACGCGCTCCCAACTGAGCCAAAAGAACTGGTCAATCTGGACATGAGATTGTACTACGAGAATGTGTACTCTCGACTGTTCGTACACATTGCCATATGCGAGAGCATCCTTTAGAGTCCTGCGCAAAAGCATCATCGTTATCTCCTCTGGTAGCCCCTTCTACTGTAGAGGATTCTGACACCACCACACGTCTCCTCTTGCAAAAGTTGGGATTGTGTCACACTGTTCGACAATCGCGAATCAGATCTCCTGTCACATTTCGAACCGAGGTGTTTTAAACACGTGTTTCAAACAGATCGACGGGCACTGCGTTTGGAGCGAAGCTGTACTAGTACATGACGTATACGAACGCGTAGCACACCCACAAGAGATGGGCAAGAGTGCCATGACCGCTCCCCGCTTTCCATAGCTCGCGGCGCAGAACTCGCGATGACCACCACCTGAGTGAGCGTCTTCAACGTTGTTTCAAACGGTGTGGACTGTCTCTCTTTCCAGCCAAACGGACTGCAGCCAATCAGATGTCGCTCGAGCGGCGACTGTTGCATTTTGGACCAATGGGAGAGCGGGGCGTTTAATCCACAAAACCGGCGGAAGAGAGAACATACGCTGCCGCGCGGCCTTGTCGACTGGATGAAGACCAAGGCCATGAACTACGAGACGGAGACGATTCACCATCACAATGAGACGCTGGGCGACTTGAATGCAGCACACGCATGCCCCAGTGGACGCATGAAGATGGAGGAGCTGTTCCGGCAATGGCTGTCGCTCGACACGACCAAGGACATGATCTGCACGTTGGTCGACGACGTCAAAAACGGGCGCGAAGTCGTCGTGCCGACACCAGGGGGTGTGTCCATTCTAGGGTCCGTGTCTCCGAGCAACAGCAGCCTCGCCGATCCGTGTCGGTCGCCAAAGCGACCACCCAACCACACACCAACCCATGTCCAGCACATTCGAAAAAAATCGCATGGGAACTCCGACGAGATGCATGTAGAGCTTCTGCAACCGTTGCACCTGTCCGTGACGTCACCTGAAGACTTGTCGGACGACACGTCGTCCCGCATCCCAAAGTTCTACTTCCCCAAGGAAGGCGGCCGCGGTCGAGGACGGGCGTACTCGCGTGACCAACTGAATCGGAAAGAGCGCGATATCGACGAACGGTTCCAGCTCGCCGGTGCAGGTCCGGAAGGTCTGAACGTGGACTCGTTCGTGTCGATCACGAAGGATCTGTGTGGGTTCCCAAGCTTCTTCAACCTCCCGCTCTTCCAGCGCATTCGATGCGTGGGTGGCAGCCCCAGCGCCGAGTTCGACCCGGCCACGACCTTTGTCACAAAGGAGATGTTCCAGACGTTCTGGACCGTCGAAATCGAACCGTACGACAACGTCGAGCGCTTTTTCCGCCTCGTCAAGCAACCCGCCCACGACTACATTGAGCACAGCGACTTTGCTCCGTTTCTGCATGGTAAGTGTGTGCACTGTACGAACTGGGACCGTTGACATTGCACACTTAGAACTGCTCAAGTACCACCCAGGGTTGGAATTCTTGTCTGGCACGCCCGAGTTCCAGGAGAAATACGGTACATATATATCTATGCTGTCGGGGCTCATGACGACGGGTGGACGTAGCGGCGACGGTGGCCGTGCGCATCTTTTACATGGTGGACAAGGACAGCAGCGGCCGCATCACGCTCCGGAAGCTCCGACGAAGCAACTTGGTGCACGCGTTCAACATTGTCGACGAAGAAGAGGACATCAACAAGGTACATTCACTCTTGGCAGAGTGTTGGTCTCACGTGGATATCTGCGACAGGTGAATGCGTACTTTTCGTACGAGCACTTTTACGTGCTGTACTGCAAGTTTTGGGAACTGGACACAGACCACGACTTCCTCCTGAGCCGGGACGACCTCATGCGATACGGGGGCCACGCGCTCACGCGGGTGATCGTGGACCGCATCTTTGACGCGGGACGGCGGCCATTTGCGCGCATTCAGTCGCTGTCCGTCGAGGACAAGACCAAGATGAGCTACGAAGACTTTATCTGTACGGTAGTGGACATGCCGGATGCTGTTGTTGACTGTGACGTGGTTTTGTAGACTTTATGCTATCCGAGGAAGACAAGGGCAACCCCGTGAGTCTGCGATACTGGTTTGAACTGATTGACCTCGACGACGACCATGTGATCCGCGCCGACGAGATGCGCATGTACTACAACCACCAGATCCACCGCATGGAGTGTCTCGGGCAGGAAGTGGTGCCGTTTGAGGACATTATGTGCCAAATGTAAGGCGACGGAGGCTGTGACGACGAAATGTGACACCGTGAGTAGGTCCGACCTGCTGCGCCCCGCCGTGGAAGGCGACTTCAAATTCCCCGACTTTGTGCGCCCCGAGAAGATCCGGCTCTCGGGCGTGTTCTTCAACGTGCTGTTCAACCTGAGCAAGTTTATCGAGTTTGAGGGCCGCGACCCGTTCTTGCTGCGCCAGCAAATGGCCGAACCAGAATTGACGTACGATTCTGTGACGACGTGGATATGTGTGATGCTGAACGGAGGGATGGATGGCTTGTAGAGATTGGGATCGGTTTGCACGGGCAGAGTACGCGCGGCTGGCCATGGAAGAGGAAGGCCGGGAGAATGAAAACACGATGGAGATTGACACGATGGACGGGTGGTACGACAGCCAGGACGACGTGGACGTGATGGAAGCGACCGACGCGGCCGCGGCGACGATGACGGCTGACACCAGTAGCAACGACACTAGCGGCAATGCCAGTAGAACAAGTGCGGAAGCGCCGTTTTAGGCGACAGCAGGACGGGAGACAGACCCGAGATAGAGTAATATGATTATCACGAACCCCGTGAGAACTCGAGCATGTCATTGTCCCTTGTTCTTGGCGGCGTTGCACACCCGAAGGAGGCGCACGATGTCCTGACACTTTGTCCAGTCGCGGTCGTACTCGCCCAAACACTCTTCGAGCTTGTAGTACTCTACGGCACACTTGTTGCGCTCGATCATCCCTGCGACAAGACGCATCCCAGCTCACTGCATCGAACAAGATGACGGGCGAGATGGCCGTACCTTCAATGTCGTCAAAGTCGCTCTTGCTTCCCAGGTGCACGGGCGCGGTGGCGGCAGTCGGTGGCAGCGGTGAAGAAGACCCTCCCATCGTCTGTGGCGTCGATCCAGTGTGTCGAAGTAAACCAATGAAGAATCGCACATTTATGCTGAAATACAATAGTATTATTATTCGCAGCGTTCATTTGAAAATTCACGAAAGTCAAATTAGGAACTGTTAGTTTCGGACTCAAATTCGGACTTTTTAGCTGTGCTGGCATTCTATTTTTAGCATCTGCCAATTGGCATGCAGCGGCGTGACACCTTGGGCAAGAAGGACAGCCATGACGGAAGCCCCACGATACGCCGCGTATCCACGGTCGTTCGGACAGTCAGTGCTGTCAACCGATTCAACGTTCTGTAGGTGGAGTTACCTTGATTTGCATTGACGAGTTCATCTAGTTTGAAGAAACGGATCAAACGCCGAGCTGGGTGGACGCGGAAGCAAGCCACACTGGACGACGTCACTCGACATTGCCAAACACACATGGAGCGTTTGGGAAGCTTACCCCCGATGAGCGCCGAGATCAAGCTCGATTCCATTGAAAAAGCAGTCAAAGCCAATCTCACGTTCAAAGGAGAATGGTACCAACCGCCGTCGTGCACCTCGTTCGTTCTCACCAATCCTTAGGACGACGTTCTACTGGAGCAAGTTTTTCTTTCGGTCACCCATCGTCGTGCACATGATTTCCGACTTGTTTTGGTGGGCCAGCTTGGAGTTCTTCAACCAATCCGACGGCAACGAACCACTGCCCGCCGACTGTTACGCCCATGTGGCCCAAGCTTACGTCGAGCACCAAGTCGCAAGTGCGTTGACTCATCCATTATGACCACTCTGTATGTGACGTGGGTTTGATGCTGCTGGCTAGTGCGCTACGGCAAACTGCTAACGAAGGTGCTGTACACAACGCTCCCCACGGGCGCCGCCGACGAATTCCTCGATTACTTTCCATGTATTTAATATGCTGGCCCTTGTCACAGCTAACTCTCCAACTCTTCTAATCATTCAAGCAATCACGACTAGATTGCGTGTCCCGCACCGTGTACAAAGCGATGCAGAAAGCATACCCGGACTTCATCGTTCAGATGCGGCACTCGTGCTCGCGACGGATGATCGACGCCATTTCCGAGTGGACGACCGGCGTCAAGACCAAGTGTGCGTCGTGGAGCGCGTGGCGTGCTGACATGTACATATATATCCCAATCATACCTAGTTCCTTGTCTTCCGTTATATTTGGACAAACAACCAATGACGTCTCTAGACAAAACCGAAAGCTCCGCCACGGTCCAAAGCCAAACTTGATAGTGCGCGACGTGCTGGACGAGTTTACGATGCAGGAAGAAGAGATCCCAAGCGACGACAGCAACGACGCCGACTTTTTGTCGGAAGACGAAGCCAGTAACGGCATGGCCGCGTACGACATGAACGACGACGCCGACTCGGTACGTCCGTAGCCATTGCATTCGACGGCATCTCTAGACAGCTCCACGTTGATATAAATTGTAGTCGGAGGAGATGGTGCACCAACGATTGCAGCTGCCGCCTGCCTCTGCACCTGGACGGTCCAAGGTGTCTCTGAAATTCAGCCCCTCCGTGGACAAGGTAACTAACTATATTGGGGAAGGCGTTTGTGAGTGTACAGTACCTTGGTAGATCATGCACATGTACAACTACACGGGATGCCAAGGGCGCAAGTTGGGATACACTATGACCGTGTCGGATGGATCGTGCAGCACGGTGCACCAGCACATTCAACAACACGAGAGTTACCTTCAGCACTCTGCCGAGTTGAGATCCAGTCGAAGCTTCGGCACGTTGTCGTCCATTGCGTCGGTGACCCTTGACAAGGCAAGATAGCAAGCCACCCATCCAAACATGTGTGGTTGTTCTGATGCAAATTGTACAGGAGTTGCCGTCAAAGGGCGACCACCCAGGACGATCGCGGCTAGGCCCGTGCGAGTTTGAGATCAAGGTAGAGTGGGTGTGTTGACATTTGAACAAGTCTTGAGACGATTGCCGTAGAATCCGGTGGCTGAGGCACGGGAACGTCGACTGGGTGAAGCAAAAACGAGGCAACATGAGGTACAGATTGATCCGTGAGTGGCTCAGTGGGTTGTGCTTGACATGGTGCTGTTTGTGGTGTATACTGAGTGTTTGAATGGGTACGACCGCTTTGAAAATAGCACGAGCACGAATATGTGGGAGACACGATTCTGTATCGACCGTCCGCAGCAGCATTGGGCCAGCGCCTGGGCCAAGTACTGTAACTGCTCCCATCCTTCGTCGTTCACACGTCGTTATAAACGTAGCAGCTCAAGTTGGGCAACCACCGACGACGAGGGCCTCCACAGCCGTCCTTGCTGCAGCCCATGAAGCAGCCGCATGACGAGACCAAGCCGCTTCGGAAAGACAGTTGACAACATTATTCGACCACTAGCTCAAATATATAAATTCTTATATATATATATCTATCTACTCGAAACGAATACACGATCGTATGTATCGCTCTCTATTCATGGTTTACGCGGCGGTTTAGTCTGTGTCGTGGGTGGACAGAATTTTCGACACGACGAAGCGTTGGCGCTTGAGCTGGGCGCGCACGTGACGTGGCATGTCTGGGATGAAGCTGTTGATCAGACCTTTCACTGCCAGCAAGACGGCGGTGAGCGTGAAGAAGAGGCCCATGGTGCTAAAGTACTGGTCGAACTTGGGCCACATGAGCAGGATGAGGTCGCCAAACTTGGACGTGGTGACGATGATCCACGAGTTGGTGACAATCGTGATGATTCCAAACACATCGAGCACCTTGACCCAGTGGCCGATCGTGGACGCGCCGCTGGGGCGCGGGCGGCGGCAGAACTTTGAGATCTTGGAGCCGTCGATGCGGATCTCAAAGATATTGTTGCAAAACGAAAACACGGGCGCGAGGGGGCACGCGAGCACAAAGAACGTCGAGTACCCAAATTGGATGATCATCTCCAAATAGTCCCAGAAAGTGCCGGCCCAGCCGTACTCTGGCATGAAGAACTGCGTCTCGACGGCGCTCACGACTTCATGGTCATCCGATTTCTTGACCCATTCGTGGCGAAAGTACTCGACGTTGGCCCAGAACAGCGGCATGATCACCTCTTGGCAGTTGCCAATCACGAGCTGCGACGCGTACACGTACGTAAGCGACACTTCTAATTCAGTCATGCAGTTGTTGTCCACGCACTCGTGCTCAAGGATCTTCTTGAGAAACGCCACGTAAAACAGCAACGCAAAGTTGTTGACAAACTGAAACACAATCGCTTTCGCGACAAAGTGGTTTTCATAGTCCGAGTCGGTCCGGTGGTTCTCAAAGTCGTTGAGCGAGTTGCACATGTAATTGTACACTTGCGACATCATAAAGATCTGCGCCACGTTGGCCAGCGACGCCAGCTGGGTCCCGATGTTGCCAAAGTACGGCACTTGAATGAACACACTGTGCTTGAACTCGTACCGGAGCACGAAGATCCCCGCTACGAACACGAGCACGACGCAAATGAGAATCGCGAGCACAAACCACGAAAACATGAGCCGCCACCGCCGCTGCTTGTCGCTGAAGTAGCGCATGCGGGCGCCAGTCACTGGGTCGCGCATGAGCATGCCTTGGAACTGCGGCCGCACCTGCTCTTCTTCGTGAAAGTCTGTCATCCCCCACCGCATGGAGAACACCCATTGCTTGCGGATCCAGTGCTTGAGGAATAGCGTCGCCCACACGACCATGAACACGCCGTAGATGGGCACCGCGAGCACCTTGACCCAGTTGAACCCTTCGGCAATCTCGGGCGGAAAGTACCGCTTTTGCAGCATCTGGGTCGCAAACACCCCCAGGCCCACCACCGCCGACAGCATTAGCCACGACGTGTAATGCCCCAAGTAGGCAAAGTACAAGCCGATTTTCACGCCAAAGTACGCCCGGATCTCTTCAATCGGCTGGTGGAGGCTCCACTTCCACTTTTTCCACAAGTCGGCCTTCATGTGGTCGTCGTGCAGGGGAAAGTACCCCTTGATCGCGCCGCTGAGAATCAACTTGTCCAAATGTAACCCCGCGCCCACTTCGTTGTTGGTGATGATGCTTTCGATCAGCGACAGCCGCTCGGTGCTATTGAACAGCTGCATGGGGCCATGTAGGGACGCAGTCTTGTTGTACCAGTGCTGCAGCTCCTTCTTGTCTTGGTACGCCATGTAAATGTGTTCATACGGTGCGTACCGGAACTTGGCCGTCAGGCCCTTGTACTTGGGGTCGGGGCTTTGCAGGTAAAACGGCGAGATGTCAATCATCGGGTTGGCAATCACCGCCTCGAGAAATAACTGGATCGTGGCGGCAACGGACAACGGCGGCGTGTCCATGATGAGTGTGCGTTGGCGCAGCTGGGGCAGCTCCAAGCTCACGTCTTGAATCATGAGGTGCATCAGGTGCAGTTCCGTGCGCAGCCATTCGTTGGGCTCCCCCAAGTCCCGAAGGCCCGCCACGTCGCGCTTTTCGAGCAAGGCTTCAATCGCCTTTAAGTCTGGCAGCGGCAGCGTCAGCGCCAGGACATGGCCCATCTTGATCAGCAGCGGAATCATCTTGGCGTAGCCTTGGGACAGCGCTTCCATGAGCTTTTGCAAGTCATGCTCAGGTAGCATGGGGCTGTTCGCCTTGCGACGCTTGGCTAGCGACGGGAGCAGGATGGGCAGCAGACTGATCTGCACGCCAATGTCCTTGCCCGCCTGCTGCAGCCCCGCCGAGATGTCGTCCAGCAAGCGCGGCGCGTTGAGCAGCAGTTCCACGAGCGATTCATCCTCGTCATGATGAATGATGAGCTTTTCAATCATGTCTGTCGATAGCGTGGTCAACTTGATCATGGAGCTGTGGCGTTGCGGGTCCACGCCAAGTGCTTTGTACATCGCTTTGATCTCCACGTCTTGCTTGATGAAATCGTCCAGCACCAAGTACAACTGGGTGAGCAGTTGGTCCCACGTCACCACGCACGCCGCCGACGCATCCACGACGTCGTCCGAGTCGGCTTTTTCCGTGAGCGCTTTGATTTCCACCAGCAACGTGTCGAGACGATGGACGGCCAACTCCGCCTCGATCGCCAGGACATGCTTGCGCACGCGCTGCCACACGGTGGTGACCGCACCTTGCGTCGCTTGGAACGCCATCTCGTCGGGGTTGAGCCGCAGCGGCATCTTGACGCGGTGGGCTTCCGCTTCTAAGCGCTGTTCGCTGGCGCGGACTTTGCACAGCACCATGGACGGAATGAACGAGCTCACTTTGGCCGTGGACTCGAAGAACTGCACTTGCAACCCAGCTTTGTGCAGCTTGAGAATCATGTCACGCATGCTCGCAACTTGCTCCACCTTGCCCGTGAGCGGATGCAGGTTGGGCGGCCGACGGACCTCGGGGTTGGGGAACACGATCGCGTAGTCCCATCCGTACCCTTCGTCCGCTTCCAGCTCTTCTTGAGACTTGGCAAACAGGATCGAGTGCATCGTCTTGTCCCACTGGTACCCCAGGTGCAGCACCTTGGAAATGTAGTACTCTTGGCGCTCGAGCTGAATCTGCACGCGCGTGGGGATGTCGTTGATGAAGAACCCCAGCACTTTGCCCATCGAGTACAGTCCCAGCACCAACCCGCCAATGCAAAGCGACCGCACCAGCACGTAGTAGTCGTTGTCTAGGTGCAAGTAGGCCAGCGTCCGCGCGGCCATCTCGGCCTTAGCCACGACCGACCACGAGTTGGTGACCACAGCCAACACACAAAACACTTCGAGGAACGCCGCCCATAGACGAATGTGCTGCGAACTGCGCGGCGCAAGTCGGCGGTATACGGTGACCAAGGACAGGCTGTGCGCTCGAATCGACACGAGGTTGTACAGAAACGCCAGGAGCGGCAAGTACGGACACGACACTACGAACAGCGTGGCATAGCCAAACTGCATCACCATGACAATGTAGTCTTGAAACAGTCCCTTCCATCCGTATTCTTTCAGCTGGTGCTGCACTTCCACGGGCAGGAGCTTGGGCTGGACAAGAGGAGGCAGCACAGCCGCGGCTTCGATGTCCCGGCTCACCGACTTGTCGTCGAGGGACAGGCTGGTCTGAAGCCGCGGTCGGTTGGCTTTCTTGTTCCGTCGCGGGACATTCGGCCCTCGCGGCATGCAACACAACGACCGGATCCATGGAAAGATCACATGCACCAATATGTGAAACAGCAGCTGGCATCCGTAAATGTACAGCATGTACTCGCTCAGCTCCTCGACGGCTTCGACGTCCGGGCCAGCAAAATCGCCGTCGATACCTTCCAAGTGTGGCTTGACGAACGCAATGTACATGATGCCTGCAAAGTTGTTGACGAGTTCAAAGACCACCCCCTTGAATATGAACGACTGCTGCGCCGACGTCTCGGTGTGGTGCACTTCGATGTCCGTCAAGAAGCTATTGACCCGCGCAAACAGGTTAGACCACACGCAAATGGCGAGAACATTCACGACGGCAACGATCTTCAGCTGGCCGCCATACGACAGCGAAATCGTTTGGTTGTCAAACAGCAGTGGCATGGCAAAGTCAAAGCGCTCGGGTGTGGCCTTGCTTATCCATCGGACGTAGAACAGACTGGCCTTGGTCGCCAACACCAGCAGCAGACACACGACCGTGATGACGAAGCAAAACACCCGGCGGAAAAAGATCATCGAGCCAAAGTGCGCGCTGGGCATGTGTCTGTTGATGGACTCGTCAAACTCGGGGCGGTCGTGGTCTTGCGCGTGAAAGTCCGTGAGTCCCCACTTCATGCCGAGCACGGCCAGCTTGCGCTTCCACATCTTCAAGAACAGTGTGGCCCACAACACCATCACAAACCCAAACACCCACACAAGGTACCGTTCCGACATGAAGTACAGCGAGATGCTAAAGATGGACGGGAAGAGCAGCCACCGCGTGATATGCGCCACGTACGCCAGGTACAGCGCCGCCTGTCCGCCAAAGTAGTCGCGGGTGGCTTCGATGGGCTGGTGCGTCAGCCACAGCGACGTGCTCCATGTGCTTTGACTGTCGCGGCAGTACTCGTCGTCATGCAAGGGGTAGAACGACGAAATGGCGCGGAATTGGACCAGCATGTCCAGGTCTAGCCCGGCGCCCGTCGCGCTGCGCACGATGCTTTCAATCAGTCGAATGCGCTTGATGCTGCAAAACAACGGCGTGCCGTACAGATTCTGCACGTTTTCCTGTGGCGTGTACGTCATGTGGATGTACTGGTACGGTTTATAACGGAACCGCTTGAACATCGCAAAGATTGCACTCAAGAGGGACGCAGGCGCCTCCTGGGCCGTCTTCGACGACGAAGTGCAGCCGCGGCTGCTGCTGCTGCTGCTGGTGGTCGGGCTTTGAACATCCGATGCTTCGAGGTCCATGTTTTCGAGCTCGCACATGTCAAACGTGTTGAACACGTCGAGTTCCCGACCAGCTTGAAACTGGATCTTCTTGTATGGCCGCCGCGCCACCTTGGACACTTTCTCGGGGGGCAGCGGCTCGTGGCCTTGCCGTTTGATTTCCGCGGCGCGGTCTTCGGGGTTTTCGATATGAAAGCGCACTTCGCCTTGCTTTGCCATACGTTCCAGCTTGTTCTCGACAAGGCCGATGGACATGTGGACCCGCGCCGCCTCTTCCTTGAGGCGCTCGGTCGAGGCAGACAGTTTGCAGTATACAAAGGGTGGAATGAACTGGTCCTTGGGCACGTCCACGTCGAGATTGGTGGACTTGGACAATTGCGTGTCGAGACCTGCTTGGCGCAGCTTGGTCAGCATGTCGTTCATGGTCGGGATGAACGGGTACTTGACTTGCTTGTCCTTCTTGTCCTTTTCGAACTCGGGGTTTGGAAACACGAGCACGAAGTCCCACTTGGTGTCGTCCATGCCGCGGTCGCGACGCCCGGCCTTGACGGACCTGCGCGCCGACGGCTGCTTGGGCGGCAGATTCGTGGAGGTACCGGACTTGTCCTCCCCAAGAAGTGGCTGCGCTGACGATCCTCCTCCGATCGACGGCGAAGTCGCTGTGGAGCCGTAGTCCCCGTCGTCGTGAAATGGCGTGCTCAAGAAGCGCTGCAACTCCCCACGATGGGACTTGTCGGCGCTCTTGGGTCGAGGCGCGAGACGGAATGTCTGACTCTTTTGCATCGACGGCATGGCGGAAAACTTGGAAATGCGAATGTCCGTTTGCGATCGGGAAAAATGCAGGCGGTCTCCGTTGGCAGCGACTTGAACTGGGATGGCGGGCGGCGGGACGATTGCCGCCACATCCGCCGTCGCACCAAGAAGTGGCGATGTGTCGTCTACATCATCGAGTGGCGCCGACAACACGAAGACATTTTCAACCACAAGACTGACGTCAACGGCCCCTCCAATGACAATAGCGTCAGCAATGGGAACAGACTGAGGTGACACCGATGGATCGATGGCGTCGACTGAGGGCGAGGCGTCTTTCTCCAAAGAGGCAACATCTACGGTCACGGACACTTCGTTCGAAGGACTTTGGTCCGCTGTCGACTCGCAGTCCACAACTGAGTGGTCTGTATGCTCAGAGCTGGTTGGACTGACCAGCGCGACCTCGTCTTGGTCGCCCACGTCATGAACTTCGTCAAGCAGGGCCGGTGTGGTGGGCACAGAAGTGTCGGACCACACAAGCGGCACCGCCGCGTCGTCTCCCTGCAGCATCATCACCAAGAAATCAACTTCACCAGAGAAGTCTTGATTGACATGTACATTTTAATCCCATTGGCTGCCAAAGTGCATATCAAAAGCAAGTATAACGTCACTTCGTCCTTTTGACGTACTTTCTCTTGATATTTGTATCACCTCTTATTTCGCTTCACCACCTAGAAGTAGATATCCCTACTTCTACGGCGGCAACATGCGCGCGGCCACAGCATTAAAGGGATCGACCACAACTGTAGAACTCGTCGTCCTGACTCCATCCACTGAGATCACGGCACTTGGATATATCGTTATGGCCCCATGTTGAGACGAAGGGACCAACAACAAGTGAAATTCGCCGCGAATCTGAACAGAAAATCCAGTTGCAAGGTCGTCGCACAAGCACATTCAGGAGACAATCACCCCCACCCGCTCAATCATCCTCCACCGACCTGTCACTTAGGTGGAGGTCCATCGCTATAAGTCGTAGACACGTCAATTCGCTCTCCATGTCATGTACTCGCGTACACCATCACATCCCCGGCCCGTCCGTCGTCCAAGATTTCCCACGCCCCTGTAACTTCAAGTTTTCAAACAAGGTTTGTACGGTTATACCCGTACAACGTACAATACCGTACGTACATTCACGTTTAAACGGTATATTTGTATAAGGTGGAATGTACGCCTATCGACCCGACGACAGAAAGGACGGGCACCAGTCACGACCGAGCATCATTTATTGACTTCACTTTTCGATTGTCCTGAGGTTGAGCATGTCGGTCAAGCAGAAGCTCGCGTACCAGAAGGAGAAGATCTTCGCGAACCGCGATTACGGCTCCATGCGACTTGACATCAACGACCCGAGCGTGCATTGGGATTACACCATCGCGTTCAAGACGACCAATGCCGAAGGGAAGCAACCTCCGATCTCCATGGAAGACATCCTCCGGCGCTTGCACGCCCAAGGGTTGCAGTTCCGCTTGTACTACTCGTCTACCCGCGACATTGTTTTCTGCGAAATCCGTTGCCACTATCAGCGCTTGAAGATCGAAGCCGATCGCATCGACATGCCCGTGTTGCTGGAACCGTCGGAATTGCAAGCGACGGCCGAGCGTGGTTTCGAGGACTTGGGCATCAACCCGTTCCCCATCTCGGACGTGAAGAAGATCTACGACTTTGCACCGTACGAATACATCCACGCGTCGTTCGAAGACGACGACGACAAGCAGTACTTGTTTGCCAAGCGCAACTTGGACGGGACGGTTTTTTCCCCTGTGAAGCGCATGAAATTGATTGAAAGCATCATCATCTCCAAGGAGTGCTGCGACTTGGACTTGGACAAGTTGATCTTGAACGGATCGATTTTGGCGTGCTATCCTCTGCATAACGACGAAGAAGTGAAAATCCTCGCACGCGACTGGATTCCCGCCTTCCGCATGCCGTGGAATCAACCCTTCGACAACATCCGCGAATATTTTGGGGAACGCATCGCATTCTACTTTGTGTACTTGGGCCACTACACGACATTTATGTTGTACGCCGCGATCTTCGGCGTGCTTGTGTTTACCGCACAACTGTTTATCAAGGACACCCGCACGACGCTTGCTTCGGGAGAAGTGCTCGTCGTGTCGCACATCCCGTACTTGGTCCCTGCGTTTGGTTTGTTCATGTGCATATGGTCCACCTTATTTTTGGAAACGTGGAAGCGCGAACAAAACGTGTGGGCGATGAAGTGGGGCATGTCCGACCTGGCCGACGACGAGAACACTCGTCCTCAGTTCACTGGCGAGCCCTTCGCGAGCCCCATCAACGGCGTCACATCCCTCTACTTCCCCCCCACGAAGAAGTACACGCGCGTGGCCATGTCTTGGAGCGTGCTGCTCTTGTTGATCTCGATTGTGTTCCTCTTGGTCGGGGGTATTTTCCGCCTGCGGTACGTCTGGACGCACGACGCCGCGTTGAAGCTGCCTGGCGTGTTGTCGCACATCCCCGTGGGGTCGGTCTTGGCGTCAGTGGCGAACGTGGTTCAAATCACGATCATGGGCAAGATCTACTACAAGACGTTTTACTCGTTCAACGAGTACGAGAACCACGAGACCGACTCGCAGTACGAAGCGTCGCTCGTGGTCAAGACGTTCGTGTTCAACTTCGTCAACAACTTTGCCGCGTTGTTCTACACAGCGTTCTTGAAGGAGTCCTTCGAAGGCGAGTGCAAGGACAGCGACTGCCTCGGCGAACTCGCGTACTGCTTGGCCCTTGTGTTTGGCATCCAACTGGTCGTGGGCAACGTGCGTGAGATTCTGCTTCCCCGCATCTTTGCATGGTTGAACAAGCGCAGCATCGTCAAGGGTCACGCCGTGACTGAAGCCCTCTCGGACGCGGAAAAGCAGTTTTATCTCTCGACGTACGAATGGAGCGGCACGTTCGACGACTACACGGAGATGATCACCCAATTCGGGTACTGCTCGTTGTTCGTGGTGTCATTTCCGCTCACGCCCGTGTTGGCGTTGGTCAACAACTACATTGAAATCCGCGTCGACGGGTTCCGCCTCTTGTTTGAGAACCGCCGGTCGCGTCCTCGCAGCGCCGGTAGCATCGGCATGTGGCTTCAAATCGTCGAGTGGTGCACCACCATCGCCATCTTCACCAACGCGTACGTGGTCGTGTGGACGTCCAACACGTTCGATTTCCTCAAGGACACGGCCCTGTTCACAGACCCTGACGTCCTCGACGAGTACGCCAAGGCACAGCAGGCCATTGCCATCGACGAGTACGCCAAGGTGCAAAAGCTCATTGCGTTCGTCACGTTTGTCGCCGTCATGATGGTCATCCGATTCTTCCTCTCCCAAGTCATCCCGGACGTACCGGCGTCCGTGTCGGCCCAGCTCAAGCGCCAGCAGTTTTTCAACAACAAGGCCATCTTCCGCTTGCCCGACGACGTCGTGAGCAAGTTCGTGGCCAACAAGGAGGACACGTTCGACATGACTATTAACGACAACTAAACACCCACGCATTGCTGTCACGATGTAAATAATACTAAGTCAATATGTGGACTGATTATTATTGTGGATTCACGGTTGTCACATTATTATTGTTCATGAGCAGCGAAAAAGGGCATTTGGACCTACATTCCCCACTCACCTCGTTTTGATTGGCTGTTTGATGGCTTTCATCCGGATAATTGGAAACATGCAGTTCTTATTCGCTCAAGTTCCGGACGGCTTCGTGACACTCTTTGACTTACTGACTACCGGGTAACGAGCCCGATGCCGCACCGGGAAGAGCAGGTCCCCCTTGTGGTCAACCAGTCCTCCACAGTGTCAAAGGCACCCAACGAAGGGTACGGCTCTGGTCCACCTGATTCGTTGGCTGTCAAGATCACAGACACGGCGACGTTGTCGCCGTCGCTGCATGTGTCGTACGACTATGTCCTAGCGTTTCCTCACGATGCGCCATTCAACGCATCCATTTCCAAGCCTGACATTGTCCATCGACTGCATCTCGCTGGTCTCACAACCGAAGAAGTTGTTTCCAAGTCGGCGGTGTTTTGCAAGGTCCGCGCGAACGTCACGCGCCTTCAAAAGGAAGCGGCGCGTGTGAACCTTCCCGTGCTTGTTGACGACGTCGTGTTGGCCGAAGTGGCGAAAACGGGTCTCCAAGCCTTCCACATCGAGTCGTTTGAGGTCGAGAACCCGCCGCGGCAATGGCTGGACTTGTTTCGTCGACCCATCTATCCACCGTACAGTCACATTTACATGCCATACGCAAAAGAGTCAGACCAGTCGATCTACGCTTCTCACGACGGCGCATTCTTCTCGAGCATTCATCGCATGCAGCTCATCGAGAGCATCCTCACCAACGTCAACGGCGGCGGCGCCGGCCTTGACCTCGACCTGCTCACGTCGGAAGGCGTGGTCATTGCTGCGTATCCATTGCACTGCGACTCGCAAAGGCTCACGTTGCAAAAGACGTGGATGGCATGGTGTTATCCGCCATGGCAGCAGCCACTCCAGGGCATCCGCGACTACTTTGGCCCCAAAGTCGCCTTGTACTTTGCCTTCCTCGGCCACTTCACGACGTACGTGCTGTGGGCGGCACTCGTCGGACTCGCCATCACGACGCTGCAGATCGCGCCGTCCAAAGTTTCCATGTACGTCGAGGCGTCTGCGCTCACGTACGTCCTTCCCATCTTTGGCGTGGCCATGATGCTATGGGCGTGCTTCTTCCTCAAGCACTGGAAGCGGCGCAACGCCGTCTTGGCCTTAGAGTGGGGCATGTCGGACCTAGACAAACACACCCACGACATGGTGCTGTTTCGAAATCGCCCGAATTCCCGCGTCGATGCCGTGCTGCGCGTGGGCGGGTCGTGGCTCGTGCTCGTGGTGTTGATGGAGGCGATCGTGCTGGCCGTGGGCGCCGTCGCGCGGCTGTATGTGTCGCCGACGTGGGGCTACGCGCAAGGCAACATGACGCTCTTGGCGGGGTTGATCGTAGCGCAGATTGTGGCACTGTCGACGGTCTTTCAATGGTTGTGCGTTAAACTCAACGAGTACGAGAACCACCCGACGGCGTCTGCGTACGAGCGGTCGTTTGTGCTCAAACTGGTGCTCTTTGAAGGCGTAAATCACTTTGCAGCATTGGTGTACTTTGCCTTTTACGTACCGATGAACCCCCCCGACTTCGCATGGCTCGTGTACAAAGTGTATGGCGCGTATATTGTCGTGTACCACTGTCAGCGCGTACTATCCCGACGTCGGAACAACCAGCACCACCCTCGGAATGAAAGCGGCGACGATACTGACGACGACATGGAAGGACAGTTTGCCCTGGCCGAGTATGGTTGGAAGGACAGTATGTTGGACCACTTGAGGCTCGTCGTGCACTTTGCCTTTGTGACCGTGTTTGCCGTGTTGTGCCCGCTCAACCCGTTTCTATCGCTCGTGCATTACTCGCTCGAGCTGCGATTCAACGGCGCCAAGCTGCTCACGTCGTGCCGCCGTCCTCGTCCGCGCGGCGCTGAAAACTTGGGCATCTGGTACGTTGTCCTGCACTGGGTGCTCAACGTCGCCGTGGTCACCAACGCGTGGCTGCTCGTGTCCTTGTACCCGACCCAACCCCCCACGACCCCGGCGCCGCCTGGACCCGCCTCGCTGGCCGCCATCTCGTCCCAGCACGTGGTGCTGTCGTTGATCCTGTGCCTCGTCGTGTGTCGCATGCTCGTGATCGTGGGGTACCAAGACACGCCGTCGCGCATTCGGCTGCAACTGGAACGCCAGGCGTACTACGTAGCTAAACTGTACCACAAGGCGTTTGGATGGCCCGGGCACATGGCCGCCAACACGTCAACCCTGGCGTTCGAGTATTGCCTCGCATTTCCCAACCCCGAAGCCCTCCCCAAGAAGTCCCATTCTCGTCCGACATCCCCCAAGCCGGCGCTGTCAACGGTGCTGGACGCTCTCAAGAAGGCCAACCTCGCGTTCAATGTGTACCCGTCGGCGGCCAAATCGTCCACGTACTTGTCGTCGTTCATTTTCTGCGAAGTGCGGGCCACGGAGAGCCAGCTGCAGCAGGAAGCGGTGCGGATGCAGCTGCCCATGCTTCTGGACGAGATCATGCTCAAGGAGTTGGCTCACGAAGGGGTGTTCCATGCGCTGCACAAGGGCATGGTGGACGTTGTGGACCGCACGCGGATCGAAGCTACGAGGGTCAACTTGTTGCTACTGCTGGAGAATATGCTCACGCAGCGGGTGTTTCACAGCAACGACTACACGAACGTCGAGATGGCGGACAAGCTCGAGAAGTTGCTGGCCGCGTTGCACAACCGCGAGCCGCGCACGCACGTGTCGTTGGCCCACGTGCTCGCGAATTTCAAAGAGTTGATTGAAGTGGACATTGAAGGCGAACAATTCCGACAGCTAGATGTGCCGCAAACGCTACTGAACCGCATCGAAACGTACTTGAGCACGGGCGACGCACAGCCGACTACACCCACGTCGGATGTACACCCAAACAACGCGTTGAGCTACGCCAACAAGAACTTTGACAAGTTGCTCAGTCAAATGGTGGCCTCGCTCCACGAACGCCCGCTCAATACATTGTACATGGCGCAAAAGACTTGGAAGTACGGGCTGGAAAAGGTGCTGTGGTGCATCGAAGAGCTACTGAAACACTCGGACGTGTCGGTGTTCGAACTGTCGTCGTCGTCGCCGTTGAAATGGCTCTCGATGCAGCAATACCTCGACAGCTTCGACTCGGAAGTCGTGTACCCGCACCTGAACAGTCTTCTCGTCGAGTGCATGTCCCTCCTCGAAACCCCCGGCGCGAGTCCGTACAAGGCGTACCAGGAATTCCGCGCCAAGCATCCCCACTCCAAAGTGCTGGAGCTCGTCACGTCGCTCGAAGCGTCGATCATTGCCAACCCAGACGTGGACATTGCTCCGTTTTACCTCGGGAATCCGGACCCCAAGTACAACTTGCTCGCCAAGCGGTTCAAGTATCGACCGTATCAGTACCTGCATATGCCATACCGTCGCCAGCTGGGCAAGTGGCAGGAAGTTTATGCGACACCGTCGTCGTCGTCGTGCTTTAGTCCGGTGCAGCGCGTTCAGATTCTGGACAGTCTGCTGCAGCGTCACATCCACACGGACGCGTTGCTGGCCCAACGCGTGCTTGAATCCGCGTTCCCGCTTCATGACAAGACAGAACACGACTTGCTCAAGAACGCGTGGGTGCCGTGGACGTTGTCGCAGCCCCTCGACCGCATCCACCGCTACTTTGGCTCGAACGTGGCCATGTACTTTGCCCATTTGGGACATGCGACCAAGTGGCTGACGTTCGCCATGCTCGCGGGGGTGCTTTTCTTCGTGTGGCAGCAGTCTAAGTACTCGGTGGGCAATGCTGCCCAGGTGTGGGTCGTGCCCGGGTTTGGTGTGCTCATGGTGCTGTGGGCTACGCTCTGGCTCAAGCATTGGACACGCGTCACGTCCATATTGAAACTGCAGTGGGGACTGTACTCGACGGCATCGTCGCCGCAGCCTCAACAGGTTCGAGCCGTGTACACTGGCGACTTTATCCGCAACCCCATCACTGGCCAAAAGGTCAAGTACTTTCAAAGGAACGCCCGGGTCGTGCGATGGGTGGTCGGGTGGGGGGTGCTGCTCCTTGTGGCCGCGGTGGCCTTGAGTGTCCAAGCCCTCATCTTGTACGTGCAGGCCACCACATCCCGCGGGACTAGCGTCGGCATCGCGTTCGCTCTAGGGCTGTGCATTGTCGGCATGAAGCACATGTTCAATGCAGCGATCGTCCTGCTGATCGAGTACGAGAACCACCGCACCGAAGTCACCTACCAAGGGGCGTACGTGCTCAAGGCGGGGGTGTTCCACGCCTTCAACAGCTACGCGTCACTCGTGTACATGCTTTCACAGACCCAGTTACGCCACATCAACTCGTTGTACGTGATCTACGGCATGGAAGTGGCCGTCACCCACGTCATTCGCGTCGTCCGCCTGGTCACGCAACCAGCTGCGATGGCCACGGGCGAGCAGCAGTTCTACCAGGGCGACGCCAACTGGCAAGCGAGTATGGAAAACCACATCGACCTGGTCATTCGGTTTGGGTACATGCTGGGCGGGGTCGTGGTGTGTCCACTGGCCCCGGCGGTGTCTTTTCTGGACCACATCATGTCCCTGCGACTGCAAGCCACGCAACTCATGAGCATCACCCGCCGCCCTCGCCCCGCCGTCATCATATCCACCTGGTACTCGACCATGATGAGCATCGTGTTGGTGGGGGCGATCGTGTCCAACAGCTACTTGGTGGTGTTTGTGGTCGAGACATTTGGTCCTGCCTCCATCGTGTCCACGTTCGACGGATTCTGCGGCGTGCTCCTGGCGATGGTGGCCGCGCGCTCCGTGCTTAATTCGGTGTTCAACGACGTCCCGACCCGCGTGAACTCGCAGTTGGAGAGACAAGCGTTTTTGGTCGAATCGATCCTCAACGAGCAGCCCCCGGTCCCTTTGGCCACCATGGCGACTCACTCTGCACCAATGCGACCGACCAGCGTCAGTTTGCAAAGCGATTACAGCATGTTGAGCCAAGACGACGATTTCGACGACGAAGTTGAAGCTGAAGGCTTTGTGTGAACACAAATATGACGTGTACTACTACTGTATTTCCCGCTTCGTTATTCGATACAGTACTCCTCTATGTCCAAATGCGTCAACCGATAGACGGTTGAGTACAGGATGCTGACCAGAAAATTCAAAGAATTCAACTATTCGGACCAAGGGTGCTGATTGGACCATGAATGTAACGCTTCTTCAAAATTCAGCCAATGGCATCGAGGAAACTGAGCTTTGCGCTATAAATAGAATTCCTTAAACCGCCCACTGCAAAGGAAACTACGAAGGTCGCCACAATTACAAAAGTAAATCGTGGTGATGGAGGCGATTAGCGAGGACGTGGTCGACGAGACCCATGGAGGCGTGCAGGCGAGTAGCAGCAGCGCAGCATCGATTGAAGTCACGACCCCGAGAGGAACCAAGCGCAGCGCGAGCCACCGTCGAGTGCGGTCGATTGTGGTGGGCGGGCCTATCGAGTTGAACAAGATCAAGAAAGAGCAAGAAGTATGAACCATGTCATATTGTTCCAACACTGCAGCATCATTGATATGTGCGTGTAGGTCGAAACGCTTCACAGCGAACTGGAGAAACAACACAAAGCGCTGGAAGTGTCGTTGGAAGAAACCCAGTTGGCTGCTCGCATCGGACAATCGTTGTTGCTTCAAAACCAGCAACTCGACTACGAAATGGAATCCAAACTGACGGCCGTACGATTGAACCTTGACCGTGCATTCGTTTGTATGTAACACGACAATTGTAGTTGAAACAACGAAGCGACGACGCCGAAGGGCAAGTCAAGGTATGTCGATCGTTCACACATGTCAGCCAGAATTGTTCATGCCATTTGCACAGATTTTGGAGCAAAAGTTGCAAGACATGATGTTGTTGCACCGGGAAATGGACATTAACCACACCAAACTCGTGCGAGAAAACGATTTGTTGGTGTATGAGCTGTCACAAGCCAAGTACGTGCATACCACCGGAACAGTTTCAGTTGAAACCACCAACGATTCAACTAGGATCACAATCAAACCATTGAAAGACGAGCTGGTGAAAACCAAGGACGAACTCAATACCGCCCAATTGAGTGCCTTGCGGTCGGCCGCAGACGCCACGGAATTGCAAACAAGGCACGATACGTTGAAGCAACGCTACATCATGTTGGAGTCGGAAAACGAATCGCTGGAGGCACAATTGATTGACGTATGTTTGGTGTATACGAAGTTATTACGAGTGGCACTGATGAGTTTGTTTGAGCAGCTTCGCGGCAATTCGCACGAGAACGACCTGCGCATTGATCAATTGGTCGAGGCGCTCGCCAACACGACTCAAAACTACGACCAAGTGCAAAGTCAATTTGACTTTCTCAGCGACAAACACGCAGAAACGTCCCAGCTGTTGCAAGCTCTGGTACTACTTTGCAACACCTCATTTGATACATTGACATGCCGCATAGACAATCCAGCACGAAGCCGTTCGTGAAGAAGCGTCGACTGCAATTCAGCAGGTACTTACCGGTCCACGAGAATCTTCAATCGTTGACTGGAACAACGACCAGGTCGCTGTCCTCACGGCTGACGTTGAAAGCATTTCGGAATTGCTCGAACACGAGCGCCAGGTGGCCCAAGATTTGCTGCTAAAGCACAACGTACGGAGGCTGCAATGTGCTTTACGGTCTCGTTTTTTAACCATGTGTCAAAATTAGGAGCTTGTCGAGAGCATTGCCAATGGCAACCCATCGCCCCTCAATCCAAACAGCAGCCACCGTCGCCAGTCCAGCGAGTTTTCCGTGTCGAATCCGACCTCCCCCCTCTACGCCCGGTCCGATTCTTATCATCAATCGACGACCCTGCCATCGTCGTTCTTGCGCCAATTACACCAAAGCATGGATGGCCAAGACGGCGGCAACCCCACCGGCTTTGACTGCACGACCATGTTACACCAGGAATCTGCTCAGGAGAAACGCCGGGCCGAGGTGCTGAAACGAGGGTCGCTCTTCCACGAACTGTCGAGGGAACTCGAGAAGGAGTTTATGAAGGCCAAGCAAGCGCCGTTGCCCCTCCCCCCCCCTCCATCGTCGTGCTCGAATTGCACAGTGCTGATGGAACGGGAGGCGGCCCTTGCTCAACAGGTACATCAACCCCCGTTATAGACGTCAGCGTCGTGATGACTTGTATGCAGGTGGCCTCCATGACGCTGGAGATGCAGCATCTTCGCGAGGTACTTCCGTCCAAACGATATTGGTTTGAGTGGACATGGGCATTTGCAGACTGCTGGACGCGCGTCACCCGTCAAGCCCGTGCGACGACCAAGTGCATCGTGCACCACATGCTCACTGCTCCTGCACCGGGAGGCAGAACAGGCGCAACACGTATGCCACGAATTTGGCTTTCGTCTCAGCGCGCGAGAAATACTGACCGACTGATTAGATGGCGACATTGCACCAGGAGATCCATCGATTGAACGCTCTGGTCGCGTCCAAACCCGAGCCATTGCCAGAAGAAAACTTGCTCAAAGAAGTACGACCCATATTGGATCTTATTAAGCTGAAAATGACGTTGTGGGCAGTTCTTTGTGTTGACGGCGGCCGCCATCAAAATTGCCGGCGCGGGTATCCAGAACGACCGGTGCAACATTGCGAACGAGGTGATGTTGTGTGCATTTGCTAGAAACAAATATCAGATCAAGCCTGACGATCTTGGGCTGCAGGTTTTGTTTGACCAAGCAATGGCCGAAGACATGACATTTGACAAATTCCACGACTGGATCTTCGCTCGCTTGGAGTCGCCACCTTAACCACTCGATAATTCCACGCATTTACCTCCACAAGTCGAGATTTCTCGCACTACAGCGCCACTTCACGAAACGCTGCATTACTTAAAGCAACAGACCGTACGCAGATTGCTTACACCAATAAAGTTGTACCACCCCAGCGTCGAGAGCGCACAATTATTCGTGCCACGTATCCATCAATACATTAGGTTGTTCCTCCGTACTTGTAGTTCTTGTCTTGGGCTTGCATTTTTGTGGCGGGACTAAATTAAAGTTTTCTTCATTTTTCAACACATCGGGCACATACACCATCACAAAAGTCAAGCGCACAAGTTCAACGATGAGCTCAAAGGAATGCGATTCTATTTGTCTTAAGCAACATGATTGCCCACAACGATTGTCTGGAAGGACAGGAGCGAATGTTGATGAAATTTGTCCAGTAACGGCAACAATTGTTTTTGCTCTGGTAGCTGACAGAATTAGCCTCCCGTTTGCTCACCTCATATTGTACTAGCAACTGCAACATGTAACTGCTTTCGACAGAAATATCCTACCTAAGTCGTGGTTCAAGCAAATCTTGGTTGATTCATTTGCTGCTGTGTGCTTGATCCCCATGCCAATACCCTTCCTCTTGCTCTTGAGCATTGGATCCGTTCTTGTTCAAGGTCTCGTCCAACGTATATACGCACGGACCGACCGAGGAAATATTTACATTCTAACCAAACCAGGCGACGGTGGCAACTGGTCCCAGTGGAGCTGCCCGTATGGCACAGGTGTCCAGCACATGGTTGGCACTGCCAATGACCACAACTCGAATGTGTTGTTTGTGGTTGGCCCCGATGGAATTGTGTACCAAATGCAAGATGACCCGACATCCCTCCGATGGCACGAGTGGCAACCCTTCAACGGCCCGTCGAAAGTGGTCACGCTAGCGACCAATCGCAACGTTCTTGGCTTGTGGGGGCTCTATGCTATAACTGACATCAACAAATTGCTTGCGTTAACGTCGTCAGGCACTAGAAGTGCAACCTCCACGTGGTGGACATTCGACGGGGACGTTTTGGATGCAGTGGCAACCTGCGATGCCGATGGCAACCACCAAGTCATTGCGCTGATGGGCTCAGGCGTGATCAACATGGCCACAGAAGTGCACGGCGTATGGAGTTCGTGGGAATCGCTAAATAACAGCGACACCTCGTCTGGCCCGACACTCGTCAAGATGAGCGTCGCAACCAGCCCCGTCGGTTACCGTTGTTTGTGCGGTGTGAGCGAGATTGACGGGGGGGTGTGGGCGACCCTCGAATCTCCGAATGGGTGGCAAGCATGGCAGTATTTGGGGGGGGACGCGATTCAAGTGAGTGTCGCCTCGGGTGTCGAAAACAACACCTTTGTGATTGTCATCTTGGGATCCAACAAGTACCTGCAAGTATCTGCACAATCGTATGATGGGACATTCGCGGCCTGGACCCCGTTTGCAACCCAAGTAATATCGTTCAACTTTCCGTCCGTGGCTCCAAGCGGCCAAGTCAACGCCCTTCACTTTGTTGATCGTCAGGGGACAGTATGGACGATGAGTCAGCTTACAAGTACCCAGTGGAGCAGTGCTTCTGTGGTCGCCCCGTCGTCGCGGCTGACTCAAGTCGCCACCTCTCCCTTTTTCCGTCACCCCCTTCCTCTGGACGGCGTCTCCGTCTATTACTCGAACCAGTCTGTCGTCCAAGAGCTGTTTGGCCTTGCACGCAACGCCACCGTGTACCGACGGGTGCAAGATAGGTTTGGAACGTGGTCCCCGTGGTCACTCTACGCAACAAACGTGAGCCAACTCGTCAGTGGCCCAAAGACGGGCCAAGTGTTTATTCGAAATCTCGAGGGCACCGTGTACAAAATGGTGGAATCTGACGAGGGTATGTTCGTTCGCCGAGTGCCCCTCGGACAAGTCAACGTGTCCAAGATTGAACTATGCTACATGCCGTATTCTATGACCACGCTCGTGTTTGGGTTGGAGGACGGCTCTGGGCTCATTCTCGAGCCTGATTCGACGATAACCGTGGGGTGGCCGCAGTGGTCGCACATCCCAGCGGCACCGACGTCGTGCCGCGACTTTTCCGCGGCCCCTAACATCTTCTTTGGGGTATCCGTGTTTTGCTTGACAACCACGGGGGTGGTGTACGAACTGGCCAAGGACAGCAGCGCGAATTCGTGGCCCCCAAGTGGGTGGGTGGCCCTTCCAACACAATACCAAGCCCCAGAGATCACAAATGTGCCCGCTCTGGTTCAAATCGAAGCCGTGCAAGCCACGCAGGTGGGCCTGATTGCACGCGACGCGTCCAACAAACTGTGGGCCCTGCTCCAACGCGTCGACGGCTCGTGGCTGTCGTTTTGGTACGCTGACATGGCGACGGGTAGCAGCTCCCAAATTGCAGTCAAGGCCGATTGGCAGGGTTTCATCAACGTATACTTTACGTCGGCCGACGGGTTGTCGTTCCAAGAGCAAAAGCAAACGGCGTCCGACTCGTTCGATGCCGGCACACAGCTCCCGCTTTCATTTGAAGCGTTCGCCACGACGTCCGACATCAGCGGCCTGAACCAGCTCTTTTTCACCCAACGTTCAGGGCTCACGAGTGGCTTCCTCAAGACCGCTCAAGGCGGATGGGACCCGGTCGTGGCCTTCGACGACGTCAACCACTTTACCAAGCTCGTCGCTACCGAGTCGACGCGATTGCCCGGTAGCCAAGAGCTGTTTGCCCTGCTGAAAAACCAAACCGTGTATCGCCTTGTCCGAGACTTTCACGGCACGTGGGAGCCCCAATGGCGTTTATTTGCGTCGAGCGTCAAGCAATTCTTTGCCGGCGACGCTTCCAACCTGGCACTCGCGCTCGACAACCAGGGCATAGTGTACTCGCTCAAGGGTAACGGCGCCGTCCGGCAGCCGCTGGGGATTGCGACGATGGACAAGACCATCGTGAGCCAATCTCTGCTCCTGGCTATCGATGGGACTTCATACACACTGAAGGAATGGACGGTGCGAGGCGACGGCACGTACAATTTCGAGTGGAAGGTCGTGCCTGGGGCGGTCGCTTGTCTGGATGCAGCAGTGACCAAAGATGCGAATGCCATGGCAGCCGTCTTTTGCATCGACATTACCAACACGAACCGCATCTTGTACTCCAACACATCGTACGAGGTCGACGGGGGGTGGTCGGGCACGTGGACCCCCCTTGGAGGTACCTCCCCTCTGACGTGGCGATCAGTGGCAGCCACGACGATCGCCAGCGGCGCGTTGGCTGTGCTCGCCGTGGACGACACCCAAGGATTTGTGTACAAGTTGCAGCAAACTGGCGTAAACGGCAGTTGGCCATCGTTTTGGACGTTGCTGCTGGCATCTCCAGTGTCCAACCTCACAGTGGTGACGTGGCCTTCCGGACAAGTGTCCGGGTTGGCGATGAGTGCAACCACGTCCGTTCTCGTGAGTTTCGATTTGGAACCAGAAGATGGTGATGCCCCCTCGGCGATGCGAGTGCCAGAAGGCGCGATGGCAGGGTTTTCCGTGGCGATGGATTTCAACCAACAAACCCAACTCTTCTGCGTTAGCGCTTCCACCGCACTTGTCACAGTGACCACCCTACCAATGAATGTGGGAAGTTATAGCCCCGTCGAGACGCTTCCATCGTTGGGTGATAACGTTGTCGCAGTGTTTGCAACCGATCAGCTCGACATCACCCCCACTTCGTAGGCCGAAAATAAGGCCAAATATCATGAAACTAGGCAACATAATATATATTACTACGTAGTACTATGTAGTACTAGTAATATTTAAATATTTCATGTCCCCAGCCTTGGATGTTGTCCGTTGTGGAGCGAAAGGTAACCAACGACTTATTCAAACACGAGCACCACCACCGTCGTGTCGTCGTGAATGTGGCGGCGCTTCTTCCCCGGTTCCAAGTCCAACAGTTCGCTCAACGTCAGCCTACGCATAATGTCATTCGAACGAAATATTATTCCTACACCCAAAGCAGTCGGCCGTACTTTTCGCTTTCAGCAGCCTTGGTCAAGACGGCTTCGACAATGGCGCGACTGGCCAGATCCGCTTCGCCCCGCGCCACACATGCATGCACGACGTCCGCTGCCTACACAAGCCGTACCATTATATATATATTCCTTCCACTTAATATTGTATTATCCTCTCCTTTGAAACATAAACCAGACCAAAAATATCCAAAGTACGTACCTCTTGGTTGGTCAAGAAGTCCCACACCCCGTCGCTACCTGTTGACAAAAAGTATTCATATCGGCGAGCACGATGCCATGATTCGAAGTGCAAAGTGTACCAAGGATGAGAAATTTGTCCGTGGCTGTGACAACGTGCGAGATCGTTTCGGGCAACGCGAACACGTACGGGGGCGTGTATGGCTCAGCAATGTGGCGCCCGTTGGCGCGAAGGGTCGGGTCTGCGGGGCCGTTGAACGACGCGTGTTTGAAGGCAAAGTCCCCCAGCGCACTACCGCACGATCGCATTAAGTGGTATCTGTTGTTGTTGTCATAATATATGGTGGGGGTGAATTACCGAGTGGGTTGCAATCCCCCCTTGACGTAACACGACTCTGGGTGCTTGCACACGACGATGTTGGCCTCGTTAGGGTGGGCAGCGCTCAGACGAGTTTTTTCCACAGCCAGCTTGGCGTTGTGGTCGTTGCTCAGAGGGGTTGCGACCACCGAGCCATCCTCAACCGACCCCAGCACCGCACGACAATCGCCCGCTACGGTTGGGTTTGTGAGCGTCCAACGATAGTGAAGGGTCATGAAGAGGCTGACAGACCGTTGGCGACGATGAGCAAGCCGTCCTTGATGTACGCGAGCTGGGAGCACGCGCCCACGCGGTTCACTTGAATGAACCCAATCTCAAACGCAGGACGAACGAGCTCCTGGATGTCATAGTCCGTGCGCAAAAACGCTTGTTCCAATGCTGTCGCCACCTAAACCAAGGATCAGTCATAAGGGCGAGTGATTGTACATGGGAAGGGTTGGTACTTTGGACGTGCTCTTGGCCGGAAGTTTAGCCAGTTCTGCTTGGGCGTTCTTGACCAAGTGGTCGTGGGCGTACTGCGATACTTGCCAGCCCCCTAGTCGAAGCATTGTACTGAGCATTTACCTTGGTGGAGATTTGATCCGATGGATATTTGGTAGGATGAGCTTACCATGACCATCGAGCACGGCTGCATACACAGCGCCGTCTTCAACATGCACCACAAATCGATCCTAGAAATACAAAAGTGTGTGGGATCGACGAAGTCGCTGATCAATCAATCGGCTGACGGAACACACCTCAATGGGCAGATTGGCTTTGTACGAGGCAGCATTGTAGCTCTGGACGCCAGACACGGGTGTCTTGAGGTGGCCGTTCAGGACGCGGTCCAGTGGCACGGACGGACGCTCATCGGGCGTCTGAATGTCGTCGATCTGGGAGAGCGGAGGCGCGTCGCAAAGCGCAATGCTCGCCGCCGCCGATGCCGCCAATGCCATTCCCATCCACGGCAATGGGTTGGCTTGCTGTTCCACCGTGGCTGCGGTGTGGACAGCAATGGCTGATCGTGCAGCAGACGACGATAGACGTGCCGACTTGGCAGCGCGACGGACAACCTGGAGCAACATTGTGTGGCGGATGTGTCAAATTGGGATTTACAATTGGCCCAACAGCAGACCCAGTGATCTCATTGGTCTAAACTAACCTCACAATTTGATGCGAAAGGCGGCCCCTGCAGCATCTGGTCACTCCAACGGGCTATGTACAGGGGGCGACGGATTTACATACAATTCCCTCACCACTGTGAAACAGTATTTCGGGTCAAAACAACAGCGGAATTGATTTAATGAGGGAATTATTCCTACTGTACTGCCAATCATCTTGCGGGACCATATGTACTGTACTACCGTACAGTCCGCGCCACGTACATAGGACATACTAGTAATGTTTTTTGGGGATAATTCACGCAATATTTATCCGTTTTCGCTCAAATTAGTGGCAAAATGAGCGCCTTGATTGGTTCGTTCGATTGCCGCCTGAAACAGGGCAAAAGAAGAAATATTGACCGACTTACCATTTGAGGGGTACGACACATCCATAGGAACACAACATGTTCAAGACCATAAACCAAACATCCGAGTAAGAAACACCCGACAGTGACTGTACATGGACTGTATGAGCCTACCTGAACCATACGTGACATCGTAAGGTCAAATGCCACGAGGGTCTGTCTTGACGCCACGGGAGCAGCGTTTATCGACGTCCTCCGCAGCGAAGGATGGACTGTTCTTCAACTCTCCAAGAAGCTTGGAAGGTCGCGCACGGCAATCAACCGCTACTTAAAGGATGGAAGTGCATACGGCACCCGAAAAAAGGACAAGTGTGTTTCTATAACTACCATGAACTTGTTGCACAACCACCCTATTATCCAAGCCTCGGATGCGAGTTACCACCCCGGTATGACGAAGTCTGTGGTGAGAATTCTTGTAACGTGTCCGACCATTGATGGGCCGACTTATTTCATCCAATTAAAACGCCAATCTACTCTGATTGGACAAAAGGCAACCTCTCGACAAATTTAACCTGCATGAATAAATGGAGGGGAAAATATTACATATTAAAGGTTCTTCAATTTATGAACCGACGAAATGCCGCCAAGAACACAGGTCACCATGGACAAGGCCGTCCACGATGTGTTAAGCAAGTACACACGACATCAACTGCTGCGGAGGCCTATGGCGTTCCATCGCGGACGCTTCGGAAGCATTCGGCAAAAGCTGACCCCGGCGTCATCGAAATACAAACATCTCTCAAGGAAGACGTGACGGTTAGTGGTAAGGACAGTTAATAAATTAAATGTTATTATTGTTTATGCTAAATGTTGTTATTGTTCGAAGTTAAAAGACACAAGAAAAAGATATTTCTTTTGGTTAACGTTATACTAACTGTTATGATTTATGCTATATTCAGATTCC